TTCCTGAATTTCTCTGATATGGACATTGAACGTAATTTAGAAAGTGTGTATTGGGCAAGTAACAGGAAACAGATGAAGATAACTGATTACTGTACTCGTATCTAGGTACAGTAAGGCACAACAATTGATGCAATCTACTGTAATTTGGTGAGTAGGCCTACCTTTAATATACAGTATTAGTGTGGTGTGTATTGTCAGTGAAAAGCGCTGTAATATGTCTTTGATATTACACATTTGGGCAATTCCACGTTAATGTTACGTTAGTCTGTACTTAACTACGTATTTCAACTAAAAAATGCAACATTTTAACTCGGTTTTTGGTAGATTTTTACGTGACTAACATAAGGCTACTGTGGAAGTGCCCATTTCGGTTACGACATTCGTTTATAACGACACTATTTTTAGGTCCCTTTGATGACGTTATAACCAAGTTCTACAGTATTTTAAATTAGTTACCGTAACTCCAGGAAGAAATTTCAGACAGTTGGGATTTGGTGTTTCTTGAGTCTGAATAAACATTGTGCGTTTTGGTACAAAAGAAGTAGTGACTGCTGGAGCCCCAACAGCAAGACGAGAAATCCATGAGCTATTCAGGTGATAAAGCCTTTTGTTTCCAAAATACTGGCTACTGCAAAAAGACACAGCTCACATGAACACCAGAGTCTAGAAAATCTACTCGGTTGCATATATCCGTGATTATATTATACATTAATTCCATAAGAAAAAGTTTATTCACAAAGAATATGTACAGGACAGAACACAACAAAAAAAGTACAACAGTCCTAATGTATAAGATTTGCGGTTTTCACGGCAGTGACTATGAAGAAAGAAGTCTTCTTGGATATGGCACCATGTAGATGTGGTATTAACCGACGTTTTGGAGGATTTCATAATTTTCCTTCTACCCTGAAGATGGAGGCGATACGTTACTCCGAAACGTCGGTTAACACCACATCTACATGGTGCCACATCCCAGAAGACTGCTTTCTTCATTCCTAATGTATTTCACAACTTTCACTGTCTTCTTGAAGTATGAAACACATCACTGATAACTGAGTGACGGACTAAACCAACAAATTTACAATACAGTAGCAAGTTAGTGTTAACCATATGACATCAACTACTGCTCTACCTGCAGAATTTGTTTCATGTACGCTTATTCTATAAATCTAGAATCTTACGAGTAACAAAACCTCACACTGTAAAATATACAGAACTAAGTTGGAAATAACATTGTTATTTGACAAGTGGTGATAGCTTCAGAAGCCTGCACCATTTGTATACAGTACCTGGTTAACACAATATCATGCTTCTTACCTGACGTCTTGACAGCAATATTTAATTGCCTATGCAAATATATAAAGGTGAGTTAGTATATATCTGCACCACATCAAAACACAGCGTAGCCTGAATAACTGGACCGTGATACCAAAGAGCTTTGAACATCAGGCAAGGAACACCACACTGTGAAACCTAATAATATCCATCTTCCATTAAGGATAAGAGGCGCAAAAGACACACCATACTGGTTCAAGATTAAAACAAATATTGGACACTAATTTATAAACAGATAAAATTGTATATAATTTTTAGAGGTTTTCAATAAATCTAATGTACATCCTAGCATTAGCTAAAAGATATAAAATCTAGATGTACATCTGTGACATTGTAATAGTAGTTTCCAAACTTTTTGACAAAAATCCTTCTGAAGATAGTAGTTTCTGACATATAAAGGATGATAAATTAAAATATCAACATTTATCAGTCACAATGGGCAGTGTTTTTTAAAAAGAATCTTATATACACTTAATTATTTCATTTACACTCCACCTTGGGGGGCTCATTATAATAACAAAATATAAATATTAACACAATAAGACACTCGGAAATTATTTTCAAAATATAGGCTTAATTATTAAGTGAAAACACACATTACCACACCCTCTTGGCTTCATACGCTGTCAACTTGTTACAAGTTAAAGTGTTCAGATGTGGAAAGTGGTGGAGTCAAGTTGATCACATGATGGGAAAATGGACACAAAAGTTGACAGGTCAGCAAATCAAATTCTGCTTGAACAGAAAGTTACAGCTTCACTGTCTCCATCAATTGAAATTGTGAAAGCAGAAGGAAAGCTGACTTGCTTCAAGCACTCCTGTAAACTATCTCCATGTGAATTAGCCCATAGTAAAGTTCACATACTAATTTTGAAATGTTATCCTTTTTATCAAAGTATCCGTCAATAATGCAACAACATAAAGGACATTAGGAATATGTTTCACACTAAAAATGTATTTGAATACTTTTTGATGTTAACACATTCAGGACCGGAGGGGCCAATTGGCCCTCTACGTTTCTATAGCGTTGCGGACTGGGCGGGCCAATTGGCCCTTTTCTGACGCGTTATGTTGCAACCAAATATATCTCGCTGTGTGGCCACGTTGCATCATAACTACTGCGTAGTTGACCTCGGGAATGTTTGCTAGCTTAGCCAGTAACATGATCACGCTCATTTCCTGTCACACCCTAAAGAAGAGTAGGACTGCGTACATCTGCAACTTCTGCGTGATGCCTCTTCACAAAGGGGAATGTTTCCAGAGATATCACATGCGCAAGAACTTCTAGGAGCTCTGGTAAGTGTTCTCCAAAAATTTTAGTTCATAAAATTAATTAGGAGATTTTATATTAATTTTTAAAGTGAACAGTGCACAAGTTAGGGTGCTAGGCTTAAAAACCCCGGTCCCCAGGGTGATTTAAATATTTAAAGAACCAGTCCGCAATGTGTTAAAATCATTACATGTCAATAGGACACTAAAAGCATATTCTATACATTAAAAGTGATAATCAAATTTCTAAAATGTCTCTAGTTATATATTTCTTCTACTTTATGACATGGTTCAGCCACATATGGGCCATCATCAGGTAATTTCTTTTCTTTTTGGGGAACATGGAAGAACAGTCAACAAGTATGCAGTGCAGTGGTCTCCCCAAAAAGAGAACTACCTGATGATGGCCCATATGTGGCCGAAACATGTCATAAACTACAAGAAATATATGACTAAGAGATATTTTAGAAATGGGATAATCACTTTTAATGTATAGAATATGCTTTTAGAGTCCTACTGATATGTAATGATTTTAACATCAAAAAGTAGTGTAATACATTTTTAGTGTGAAACATATTCCTAATGTCCTTTATATTGTTGCATTATTGACGGATACTTTGATAACAAGGATCTCAGTGCAAGGAGATGCTAAAATAAAATTGAAATGTAATGTCTTACCTGTTTATACTTCTTGTGATAATAATGATCTTAATAAAAGTGCCGCCCAATTACCTTATATATGTCACACTGGATGGTTCCCTTATTAGGCTCTATATCCTAACCGTTACTTTTGTCACTTTCTGAAGCTTTAACCTCCGCCAAAAATACCTTTACAAGCACGTGCGTGCAACGCGTCGACACCTTCAAAGACCGAAAAATATGCTTCAATCTCACACTTGAAATATAGCCTTACTCTGTACGCCTCTCTCACTTCCTCTTCTTACTCTCGCTTTCTTTCAGTCTTCAGAGGGTTAATGTTTGTCATTAAACCTAACCTATAACTAAATTAGTACCACGGCTTCACTATACAAAATAACACAGTTAATAACATATAAATACCATTTCATCTTACTTTGCATTTTGCATCGCAGTAATATACGTTACATTTCTAGTGCAGGCACAAATTGCACTTCCAACTCTAGTCGCCATTTCCACAATCTATCAACTTTCTTTCAACCTACCGAACGCTACCGCACATTGCGCAAAGCGCTCTGACAACTCAAGTGTTGATCGTGTTGATGGCTGGCAACTACATGGGCACACCACGGAAACTGGCAACTGCAATTTCCGTGAAACGTCACCGATTCCGAGCAGGCAACTGGTTTCTAGATTAGCAGACGCACAATGAGGAAATTGATGTATGATTAGTTGTTCACATCATCTTAAGTGGGTGTGACATCCGGCTTAGTGTACGATTGCAATTTTTAATTTCGTGCACTTCTCTTCTGCAAGGGCAGATAATAATACCGATCCTGTCATAATATGGTGGTGGTTGAGGCGGCGTGCGTAGACAGGACGACGACCATAAGGAAAACATGGATGCTGAATAATTTGTTTTAATTAAGGTCAATTTATTTCATTCAGGAAACATCGCGTTCACATGCGATATGAAATTTTGACATACAGTGCAACAATTTTGGCAAGATAGAACACACCAGATGATAGCCATATACAGCGTTCCAGCTTGTTGGCATCAGTTGACGTAATTGAATTCCAGATAACGGATGCATATTCAAGCTTATCTCTAACTAGTGTGCTGTACAATTTGAGCATACAGTCTAGAGATGAGAAACTGAACGTAATGCTACGAACTAGACCCAGTAGCTCACTACATTGAGAGAAAATATAGTTGATATGGTCATAAAAATGAAGTTTAGCATCAATAAATACTCCCATATCTTTCATAGAGTAGGTCCGAGTTGTAGAGGATTATGTATGCATGTCCGAAACTATCGGATTTAGGTTTTCATTGATCACTGCACTGGAGACGGTAGATTCCTGCCCTGGCCTCTGCCTCCAACTGTATATGAAGTGGGGGGAGTCCAAGGAGCCCAAGGAGTGTCTCCAGTGCAGGTGTTGGAGATGTTCGAATTGTTCCTGTGACACCCAAGCAAGCCAACTTTTGCAATTTGCTAAGTTCTGCCTTGCTTGTCTTGAGTTTAACTCTGGGCCACCATACTATGGCGCCGTATGTAATTATTGGTGTCACAACCGCAGTGTATATCCAATGCACAACGTGCGGCTGCAGTCCCCAAGTTTTACCAAACATGCTGATGGCAATGCTTGTTCGTTCACACCATCGTTGGACCGTGTACAGAGCTGTTTGAAGACGCTCTGATACTGTCGAAAGGAATTTTCCGTTTATGAGGATTGCTATGTCATCAGCATATCCTACTCTATAATACCCATCATCATTAAGTCCACACAGGAGATCGTCAACGACCAGGCTCCACAGCAGAGGCGAGATCACGCCCCCTGCGGACATCCCCTAGGCGCGGACGCCCCCAGGGTCTCTCCTGATAGTGTGGCAGCTATGGTTCTGCTTTCCAGCATAGTACTGATCCACCTGCATATTGCAGGCTCTATGCCATGCTTTCCAGCGGCCTGTTTGATTATATCAAATGAGGTTCTATCGAAAGCTCCCTCTATGTAACGGAATGCTCCTAAGGCAATATCCTTGTGTTCAATCGCACTATCTATGCGTGTTACCACATTATGTAGTGCGCTTTCGATAGATTACCTGTTTTATAGGCATACTGGTTTAGGTGTAGAGGATATGTCCTCAACGCCCCGTCCATGATATGCCTATCCACTATTTTCTCCCCGATTAGAGTGCTCTCCCGCATTCGTCCTGGGTAGACCATAGTGATACCCAAGAGTCATTATGCCGCCGTGTGGAAGGCTCTGGTCGTAAACACGCCGTTGCCTTGTATGGGATCTTAGCCGCCAGTCCCAGTAGTCATAATAGTTCAGACCCTAAGACTGCCGTTGCCCGGCGGGACCACGAGGAGGTGTCCCAAGGCTGTGTTCCGACGTATCCCCCTTAAACTTAAAGTTGTTTGGCCCTAAGATCTGACGTTTTGATAATAAATGTCAGAAGAATTTCCATGTTGGGTGTGAGACCTGGCAGAACCACCTGTAGAAACACAAGTTAAATAAAAATAATACATTAAGTGTAATTTTCAGTCATATTGGATGAACGTCGCGACTCAGTAATTGTATTTCTTTTTCATATTTCGAGGTCCCGGGTTCAAATTTTGGCCATTTGAGAGATAGTCCCTCCGTGAAAATTCGATATTGTAACTGAAACGAAATCATAACCACTTCTTTCAGCTTACTTCTCAATTCGTTATTCATTAACTGTACTACAATTCGACGCTATATAGAAGTTTGAGCTACCAACAACGTAATTAAATTAAAGTTTCTTTAATATTAAAAATAACTAAGTTGTTGCGTGGTGAATTGTAAAGGAATAAATTTAAGAAATGAATAGTCCCATTTGAATACTTGTTATACCAAAAATGTTTTCAGTTTTTGGACATTACATAGTACTTTTGTGAGACCGATTGATTATAACTCGTACTATACACGAGGGAATTTCTTTTTTGTTTTGCCTCATTTGCACAAAACTGAAGTTTTTTTTTGTATGGAGTTTATAAAACTCGATGAAAAGGCTACATTTGTAAATTTATATACGAGTATTTTGTATGATCGGCTGTTATTTAGACATTTTATGAAATGATTTGGTCGTAGAAAATGTCTTTAGTTGCAATAAGCATGCCTCTGTCGGTTTTGGAATCTCGTATTTCCCGAGTTTGTGCGACATTGTTCTAATTGCGAAATATAGTGTCAGAGGGTTCGGCATATTATTCAGGATTTAGGAATCTCACGGCTGTGCTTATGAAACGCTCTACCTCCTGGAATATAAAGTCGTATGGTCTGTTGAAAGTCAACTGACGTTTCGGAGGAGCATATCACCTCCAGCTTCAGGTTGAAGAGTACTAAGCCAAGCAAGGAACCAGCGTGAAGCTGTCTGCTTCATGGAAACGACATGTTTCTCCAAAACGGTTGTTGACTTTTGGCGGATTACACGGCGTTATATTCAAGAGGACATATCTCATAATATTATTCTTTTATTTTCAAACTAGAAGAATCCGCGCAGTAGCGCAACTAAAACAATCAAACACCATTAATTTCCACGAGTTAAGTATGGTACTAATGATTCCGTTTCTATTAGATGACGTGTTCTACAGAGAAACAGATCTCACATGACTACATTTGCATTCTCATATTGAACATCTTTAATCAGATAATCCTCCTTGAAGTTACTTACGTCCGTAATGTCATACAAGCAAGATGGTATTCTCTTTGTCTTGTTATGCACTGTGTACAACGCTGTTTTCATTATCGATTGCTCCTGAAATTACGGTAAGATATTTCAATATGAGACGTTACAATGTGTATACGTATTTTCGGATAAGTAATACAATATCATACACATGGATCTTTAAAGCCTATGAATGTGTGTACAAAAAATTAAGGGATACAAGTTTGTGGCGGGACATCTTCCAAATGACTTTGGAATCAGGATGTATGTACATGGGGTACGCCATAAAAGCCGGCCATTGCACCGCCACCTTCAATGCTCTATTGTGCTTCTCCTTTGGATTAACCCTTTATTAATCCTACACTTCGAATGAAATGTAGGACTTTATTTATGGGGGCGTCATAATAGTTACTTGGTTCCATAAAGAACTGGCCCAGGTGACGAAATCTTAAATAAGCTATGGCCTCACAATCGCATAAGATGTTGCAATCAGGATAGTATTGGAAGTGGATTAATCGATCTGTTTCACGTGAATTTGCTGTAAAAATAACAATCTGAGTAGTATTACGGTAGCGGTGAGTTGCGTGTGTTCAAGCATTGAGCCACAAAAAAAAAGGGGGGGGGCAGTGGAATTAAAATTATATTCATTCGTAACCACGGCACTGCACAGCAACGGTCCTACTCCATCCTAAATCGCGCACCAGGAAAAGAGAACCTGCCCCTCACCAGTTCAAAACCTATCAACTTTCTCAAAATTTCATCACAATAACGCGAAATTTCCAGAATATGACGAACGCTGGCATAATTCTTGAAGTAATTTTATTCACATTGCCTCATAACATATTTATATTACTACCAATTAATTGTCACTATATGAATCGAAGTTAAGTAAAGGGAAGTAAAACACCTGTAATGGACGTAATATGTTTTCTATGTATATCACTAGGTAACATCTTTAGCTTCATAATAGTTTAGGTATAAGACGCCCATGTGCATGTTCAGAGGCTGGTTTCAGTAGTCAAAATGGAGATCGTGTTTGAGGAGTATATTACCGAAGAACAGCGTTGTTGTGCGCTTTTTGTGGGAAAAATAACTCAATGAAAGGATATTCATAAATAAATGTTTCCTGTTAACGGTGGGAAGTTTTTGTCACGTAGAGTAGTTCACAACTGGGTCGAGAACTTCTCTCAAGAACGTTCAAAGGTCATGGATGATGCCTGGCCAGGTGCGGAAACTGCTGAGACAGCAGTCAAAAAGACTTCCATGACATGTTTCGACACACTGGTAGAGAAATGGGCAAGTTTATAAATGTTGGTGGATGATATGTCGAGAAATATATGTTTTATCCATGTTTGAATATTATTTGTTTTCTATCCATTTGTGACCTATTTACTGACACTCCCTCATAAAATAAACTTCTTAAAAATATATCTTCTTATTTTGTAGGCTGGAGAGGACATTACAACATGTTGTTCTACAGGAGATGGATGCTGTGGACCTGACTGGGGATTACACTGCTGCAACTTTGTGGCAAAGATTTGCTGTTATGGACAGGAAAGAGTACTTTCATTGCATCATCACAATCGCCAACACTGGACCTGGAATAAACACTGTATGACTAGTTTACAAAAACCCATACACCATAAACAATATAATCTATATTATATAGAATTGACAGTCTGGTGTGAGAACTGAATTTTCTTAAGCAACTTATAATTATTGATGGTTACAAAATTCCCTGATCCTGTAAAACGCCATGGTTCATTAGTGTTCACAAAAGATGCCAATGTAATCTATCCTAGGATCATTCAGGGTAGTCCATATCATCACACAGTATTTCACAAAGATCAGTTTCAACATTAAACTGCCATCTATAGCTAGGCCTCTCATGTGGTCTCTTTCCGTAGGTTTTCTGATAATATTCCTCTCAACCCACTTTCTGTGTCTTACATTTGATGAGCGGTCCAAACTATGAAGCTTCACTGTTCTTTCTGTTACACAGCAATAAATCACTACATAGCGTAATTGTTTTTATAGTTCTTGCTAGCAACACCATACAAACTAAGCATTTGGAGGAAAATAAGCACCTTGTTTTTCTCAACTCTCCACTTACCGACTAACCGTAACATATTAAGCAACTCTCCTCCACATTCAACCTACAGACATACCATGCTAAGGTAACAAAAGATCTGCCTAAAACGCATTGTCATTAATATACAAAAATATCCTTAGAAACTAATCCTGCTGCCTTTTGTTTTTAATATACCTGATCTACAGAACTCCTGAGGTGCGCATTAAGGTTAATATTTTCAACAGTATGCTGCAGTGATTCAGGAAATATTTCCATGTAGTCCAAAAACGATATTCATCTATACCTAACAAACATGAATTGTCAACATTTAAAACAATGTCAATACAAATATTACTACATGGGCCCAAGAGATAAACTTAGCACAGAATGAAGAAAATGTAGTTCTTCTATTATTGTTGTAATTCATAATTTCAGTAAAAAAGTATTAAGTCCCTTAGCACTGTGATATAGACAGTTCTGCTCTAAAACATCAACTACACGGAATCATGTCATGACTAGCTAAACCTTCCTACTGCCTAATTAGCTCAATGCCAGTGAAGTTAAAATATAATAATGCAACTCATTCACATAGTTTACCTTCACTTTGGTTAAAACATTAACTAGTTCCAGACGGGATTACTAGAAAATATTTCAACAACACACTCTAGATAAATGGATTTACTGACAGAATAAATTATACTCCAACAAAGCCATTATTATAAATCATTACCTTACGAGAAAAGAAAAGTGGGATGTTTGACAAGAGAAACAACCAACTCAGTGCACTGATATTGGGAAATTCCCCAAAGTTAATCCACTGGTTAGGTATTGCATTAGCCATAGCTTTCAATACAAGACCTCATACTGAATGCAAATATGAAAGACAGCTATCAAATGTCAACCACCACATAAGATACAAACAGAAATACACACTGCCATCTGAACGAACCAGCCTGTGCTTATGTTTCAGGGCTCGAAGTAACACTGTACATACTCCTGTTAATGCTGCTTATAACAGGAATCCTGTTATGCTGTAAAGCTTATAAAGGTCGCAGAACTGGAAGAGGCATGAGTGAATACACAATTCTACCAGGGTATGAGTACCGTTCTCAACAAAGTACACCACCAACAGGTAAAATGTCACAGCTGCAGAGATGAAAAAACACTGCTATACATCAAATGTAATGTGATGATTCATTGTGTAACTGTTTTCACAGCCCCAGTAGTACAAGCCTTCCGAACTAATGATGAGTACCCGTTAATGAATTACCAGAAAAGTCAACCACGAGGGCATTCCCTAAACACAAATCAAGCGGTAAGACTTCCAAGTTTTTTTAATGCTACCTCTATACTGCTTGGGTTTATTTAAATATACAGATGTACTAACACATCTGTGTGCTTCAAATTCAAAATGTGTTGTGCTAATATATTTACTTTCATAGATTAAATTACTGTGGATCATCAGGGTGGGTTTCGACGTAAAAGATCAACTACAGATCAGATCTTTTGCATTCGTCAGATATTGGAGAAAAAATGGGAGTAAATTGAGACAATACATCAGCTACTTGGAGATTTCAAGAAAGTCTATAATGCAGTTAGGAGGGAAATATTGCACAATATTCTGATAGTTTGGGATACCCATGAAAGCTGATTAAAATGTGTTTAAACGAAAATTATAATAAAGTCCATATAGGTAAACATTTGTCTGATAAATTTCCTATCCAGAATGGTCTAAGACAAGGAGATGCTTTATCGCCACTCCTTTTCAACTTCGCTTAGAATATGCCATTAGGAAGGTCCAGAAAAACCAGGTGGGACTGAAATTAAACGGGACACATCAGCTGTTGGTCTATGCCAATGATGTGAATCAACTGGGTGATAATATAGATACCATAAAGAAAAATACACAAACTTTAATTCACACAAGTGAGGATGATGGTCTAAAAGTAAACACAGAGAAAACTAAGTATATGGTGCTGTCTCCTCACCAAAATGCAGGGCAAAATCATGACATAAAGATACGAAACAGATGTTTTGAAAACGTGGCACAGTTCAGATATTTGGGAACGACTATAACAAATCAAAACCTCATTTAGGAGGAAATTAGGAGATTGAATTGGGGTAATGCTTGCTACCATTCAGTCCAGAACCTTTTCTTTTCTCGTCTGCTGTCAAAAAACATAAAAAATAGAATATACAAAACTATAATTTGTCCTGTGGTTCTGTACGGGTGTGAAACTTGGTCTCTGACATTAAGGGAGGAGCATAGACTGAGGGTGTTTCAGAACAGGGTGCTGAGAATATTAGGACCGAAGAGGGATGAAGTGACAGGAGGTTGGACAAATCTGCATGAGGAGCTTCATAACTTGTACTCTTCTCCAAGTATAATGAGAATGATCAAGTCAAGGAGGATGAGGTGGGAAGGGAATGTAGCATGAATGGGGGAGAAAAGGAATGCATATTGGTGGGAAAGGTAGAAGGAAAGAAACCAGTGGGAAGACCAAGGCGTAGGTGGGTGGACAATAATAAAATGGATCTTAGAGAGACAGGATGGGACAGTACAGATGGGATTGATCTGGCTCAGGACAGGGACCAGTGGAGGGCTCTTGTGAACACCATAATGAACCTTCAGGTTCCATAAAATGCTGCAAAATTCTTGAGTAGCTGCAGATTTGGCTTTTCCTCAAGAAGAGCTCGGCTCCATAAGTAAGCAAGTTTTTGCTTACACCTTCTTTACCCTTTAAAGGTTGAAGCATGTATTATCCAAAGATGATAGTTAAGAAAACAAATAGGAATTTACTGAAATATGTGGTTATCATGCCCTCAAGCCCAGGGGTGAACACAGCAACCACAACCCATATGGTTAACCAAATTTCATGATGCCCAGTGTGACACGATTGTTTGTTCTCACCTTGGCTACTTATCTAGCATATGGAATTACTTACCACAGCTTAGTCTTAAATGGTTTCAAGTACTGCGCAACTATCTCATCACTCACTCATGAAGCCAAGCCTTATTTGAGAAACTACCAATTGTGCAGCTCCTCAAGAATTTCCCAGCATTTTATGGAACCCGAAGGTTCATTACCGTGTTCACAAGAACCCTCCACTGGTCCCTATCCTGAGCAAGATCAATCCAATCTGTACCATCCCATCCTGTCTCTCTAAGATCCATTTTATTATTGTCCACCCACCTACGCCTTGGTCTTCCCACTGGTTTCTCTCCTTCTGCATTTCCCACCAATATCCAATATGCATTCTTTTTCTCCCCCATTCATGCTACATTCCCTTCCCACCTCATCCTCCTTGACTTGATCATTCTCATTATACTTGGAGAAGAGTACAAGTTATGAAGCTCCTCATGCAGGTTTCTCCAACCTCCCATCATTTCATCCCTCTTCAGTCCAAATATTCTCAGCACCCTCAGTATATATTCCTCTCGTAATGTCAGAGACCAAGTTTAACATCCATACAGAATCATAAGCAAAATTATAATTTTGAATACTCTAATGTTTATGTTTATAGACAGCAGATGAGAAGACAAAAGGTTCTGGACTGAATGGTAGCAAGTTTACCCGAGTTCAATCTCAATAATTTCATCTATATATGAACTTAACCTTGAGAGAAGAAGGTTGGATAAAATTTTGTACGAAGTTAATAGCAGTGATATCCCACGATAATCACTTGTCACTTTTATCACCCTTCTTGTGAACTGGTATGATAATAGGTTCCTTCCACTGATCAGGCAATTTTGTTTTATGACAAATAGAATTAGCTTATGAATCTCAGAATGTAATATTTCACGTCCTGCTTGAATTTGATAACTACCTAGCGATTTATATCTCTCAACTTTGCAACAGCAATTTCAACCTCAAAAAAGCTAGGATCAGGTATTAACGGTTCAGATGTAACTGCCTCACATCACTGACCCTATGTACATTCAATAACTGACAGTAGTAGTTCTTCCACCTATTGAAAATGTTGTGGGAATTTGCAACCAGATTGCCATTCTCATCCTTCACTCAGTTACTGCTGGCTGGTAACCCCTCTTAAAGTCGTTTATTCCTCTATACAGGTCTCCAGTGTTCTTGTTCTTACTGTTCTTTGCAAACTCATCAATTTTGTCTTTCAGACATTCCCTCTTTTTGTTCCTGAAATGCCTGCTGGTTTCATGTCTTATATTGTTCAGATTATTCCAATTTATTCCATGACAATCCTGTACCCCCTGCAATTTTGTTTGTTTCCTTTGGTCTAATAATTTTGTGCATCCTTCAACAAACCATGGCTTATGCTTCAATTCATAACCTAGACTCTCTTTGGCAGAAATTTTTATATTCTCTCTAATGGTTTCCCAAGGTCTATTAATATCCACCTTAGTGTCTAACTTTTCCAAAGCTGCAAACCTATTTGAGATTTCAACAGCATACTACTCTTTATCTTCTACCTCATTTAATTTCTTCAGATTGAACCTTTTTGTGGGTTGTCTGCTTAGTCACTGTCAATCTCTGACTAACTTTTGCCACCATCAGAATCTGCTGCCCTGAATGTTTGAACATTAAGTATGTATACTTGAATGTAGTCTCCTATCAAAATATGGTCAATCTGGTCGTGAGTCTTTCCATCAGGAGATGTCTAAGTAAATATAAATATAAATGTTATGATGTGGTAACATTGTACTTTTGACAATAAGATTGTTGGATGTGGCAAAGTTTACTACTGTAACTCCATTATCATTACTAATTTCGTGTAAACTCTCAACCCCAATTGTTGGTTCGATAATGCCTTCCTTACCCACTTGGACACTGAAATATCCTAACAAAATTTTCATAGGGTATTTAGGGAATTTATCAAATACGTGTTCTCGTTCCTCATATCATCAATATTATCTTCTGTTGAGGTATGAACATTAAGAATAGTATCACAGCAACCTCTTAGTTTTATGTATGATATCCTATCACTAACAAACTCTACCCTCTTAACTGCTGATATAATTCTCTTATTTACGAAAAAAACCTGTAACTAATTAATGATTCTCATTCCCCTCACCATAGAAAAATGTATATTTGCCTGCTGGTTCGGTGCCACCTCTGTCCCATTTGACCTCCTGTACTCCCATTAAATCCAACTTACACATTTTGAGACTTCTCCACCGCTGCCCCGAGCAAACCTCCCCTATACATAATTCCAACATTCCAAGTACCAAATCTCATATCCATTTTCTTTCACTTAGGTCATTTATTGGTATCCCTGCTCAAATCTTAACCTCCTGAACATATGTTAAAATTACTGCCAATTGAAAAAATGTGTAGTTACCACTGAATCCTTTCACACTTTTATACTAGAAGTTGTCAAACTGAAAGAGAGCAACAAGAAGAAGGTGCCTTGAAAAGTATGAATTTGAGGCACTGGAAGCATCTCATGAAAACGAATTTGTCTGGGTGATCTATCTGAGATCCTATGCAAAATTGTGGCATGTAGAGCTGTCACTAGGCAACTACAGCCTTTTAAGCAACTATACAGCTCCCCATCAGTAAGCAAATGCCTCCTCAAACAAGCTTGTTTCCACATCAATAATAGTAAACGCTGTTTTCTATGCGGTCCTTGTTGAGATGTTGTAAGCAGGAGTTAGTGAGATTTCTGGAGCCAAAAAAGGATTAACTGATTAGTCACTTGAGCTATAGTTTAAAGCTAATGAAACTAACCACAGTACCTAATTACTGAGAGAATTCAGAATCTTGAGACATATAACAGTTGTAGACACACATGCAGTCTCATTTTTTTTTGAGACATTACTGAATATAAGAACTCTTTATGTATACAATGCTAACAATTGCCCCAGTGTGTTCTGATCAGCCTAGCATACCTTCCAGTTACAGCATCATCTTGTAACATCCGATCACATACCACCACATACTTCAGACAATTTATGAAATGGTTTGCTCTGCAAAAATATTTTTTCCTGAAAGGTTTTAAGCACTCCTTTGTATTTTGGCTAAAACATGTTACACCTATCCTCACAATTCCTGCAACTTTTTGCAATTTTTAAGAATTAATCACACTAATACACATACAGTTACACTTTATCCAGTTTACAAGGGACAATTTGACTTGCATATAGGTTTCACACTTATTTTGGACTGAAATAGGAAAGTGATTTATTGATGACTACTACTATACCACAGTTTAATTTGAAATTCATGATTTATTTAAACCGTCTTGCAGTGCATACACTCATTTATCTCCTTATCTTCCTCACACTACATGTTTCGGCATAACAATGCCATCTTCAGGTGCTTACTTATCCACGCTAAACCAGTTCATTGCATGCCTTGTTCTCATATTAAAATAATCAAAATATGTATCTATCATATACATTGTCAAACGTTAAAAATATTAAAATTGTTCAGGATACCACATCGCTATGTCGCCCCTCACTACGCCAGTCACGCTCATTCTCCTCTGTTGGAGCACTCCTTCACTGTCTTGAGTGTGTTGTGCTTTTGTTATGTCTTGCTCCTGTGACTGCGTGTGTTATACTGACATAACAAAAGCACAACACACTCAAGACAGTGAAGGAGTGCTCCAACAGAGGAGAATGAGCGTGACTGGCGTAGTGAGGGGCGACATAGCGATGTGGTATCCTGAACAATTTTAATATTTTTAACGTTTGACAATGTATATGATAGATACATATTTTGATTATTTTAATATGAGAACAAGGCATGCAATGAACTGGTTTAGCGTGGATAAGTAAGCACCTGAAGATGGCATTGTTATGCCGAAACATGTAGTGCGAGGAAGATAAGGAGATAAATGAGTGTATGCACTGCAAGACGGTTTAAATAAATCATGGACTTAAATCAGTGCAACAGGACGCTAAAATATAACATTAATTTGAAATTACTTAACATTTCCAGGCACCTCCACCACCATATTATGAAGTTCCTTGAAGACACAAGAACTCTTCATGAATAAATAAAGTACATATGAATCTTAATGTATGTGTGGACAATTCAATAAATATCTTTCCTACCTTACCTAAGGGGGCCCATACATGTACAAGTCTGGCTCGTGAGTCCGACTTGGCTCGGGGTCCAATGAGCCAAACTCGTCCGTGTGTGGGTTGCCACACTCATAAGTGTGGTGAAACTAATCAGAGCCCGGCCCCTCGACAAGCCAGACTCATATGCGTATGGGCCGCCTAACACCACAAATCCTATCAACTGATGAGAGTTTTCATCAGCCCCACTAAGTAGTATACTAAAGATTACCCCATGTACTTAACCATATGAAGACAATCTCAGACTGTCATTATTTAAGTTCTACTGTGTTGCATTTATATTATAATGTTCACAAAACTGTTATACAATCTATGGCAGTTCAACCTGAAAACTGACAATCTGATGTAAGCAGGTAAGTGATGCCGGTCCCAGTTACATGTTGTAGCAGAATTTCTAGCTGGTCAATAAGTCATTTAGGATGCTGGATTCAATGTAAATTCCTGGCTGATCACCTGCAGTTCTCTTTAAATACATGCTGCAGTGAGAATGTTTTTAATTTCTGCAGCACTCCATAAAAACATACTCTGCTTCACATAATTTATCTAGTACAGTGCATCTTGTAATTTTTGCTAAATTTATCTAGCTTGTTCAATGATGCGTTTTAAGTAAACACCAATGTAAATTCATTCTAAATATTCTACTTAATTCACATGCCAATGTGACAATCGCTGCAAAATAAAGCCACGTTCTAGCAAACTTAAGACAGCTGTCAGTGAGCGTGGAGCAGAAGTGAGCTACAAGAATTGTGGTAATCAATCTGATGCATAGAGGAGTGAATGGCCATAAATCTAAGCTGCCATAACATCTACCTACTCTCCTCCTAAGAAAGTTATTCACAGCTTTTCAGAATATGAGGGCAAAGAAGTTCACTATGTGGGTGAAGTAGATGGTATTATCCTTAGGTTACACAGTTCATTATATTTATCATGCAAAGTTTTACAATGCACAATAATATAAATATGTTCTATGTTCAGTATGATATATTGGAAATAAAGACACATTTCTGGTAAAGAGGCAATTTATTTGACAATTTTTAAAAAGAGGCTGTAAAAATTCTTAAACCCAATAAAATGCCTATGCCTCTTCCGTTATTCCACATTTGCATGTCACGTAAAGGTTAACGTGCAGAAACAGACACCTGCCAGACCCTGATGGTGTTGTCAGAATAACCAGCGAATAATGTCTGACCATCAGTAGACCATGCCAGAGACAAACACTGGGGTGGCTCAGCTTTTGCTGTCTGGGATACGACTTCAGGACGCAACTCCTCAACCATATCCTTGCTCTCCAGATCCTGAAAACAATATAACTGTGAAATGTATTAGTCTATTCTAATATTACCACTACTTGCATATTTCTTAGATAAAAATTTTCTTTCCACAGTAATTTTGGCAAGGTGGGTATTTTCCAGCTATAAACTGTTGCAGTATCACTAAGGACAGCACTTTTTTTGAGAAAAAGATAATTTCTTAAGATTAAGATCATGCCAGCATCCTTCAACAGGTCTTATGAACAGAACTAATTTTAGACAATCAGACATGGAAATTCCTGTTCTTATTAGGCTAATATTCATTTTATTTTGATCCAAGCTCCACAAATTCAACCAAGAGTGATACTGGTTATTATTTAAGATAGACGAGAAGTATTCCAGCAGGTGGAGTCAGTCCCATATCCGCAATACACTCATGATTCTCATGAATAAGTTTACAACTTCATCACATCCAAATATGCTGGATTTGCCAACAAATCTACTACAAAAGGGACAATAAATTAACACATTCACATACATACAGATTTTAACAAATGTACAAAAAGTAGCTATGTTCACAATACATAACAGAGAGAGAGAGAGTACCCAAATTTTGATTGAGGGTCCAAATGCTGCACACAGCCAATATCTGTTTGGAGAGAAACACAGCGCAGTGATGATATCATTGTGGTCCAAAGTGTGCAGATGTTTACCATCATTCAGGTCCCACAGCATGGCCTTGCAATCCTGTAGTACAAACCAGAGCAATTAAAATCAAACTTTTTACCATTCTTATATAGTTAGGTTCGCCATTGCCACAACCTAACTATATAAGTTTGGGACAGGCAACAGGATGCACTCTGTGAAGATCTTACCATTCTACCTTCCATAGTCCATACCGGTTCTGAGATCCACCCAGCCTCTTGTACAATGGGTATTTTTTTTTTATTATTATTATTAGAGGGGGTGGGTTTCCCCATGCACTTAGACCTGTTATTGGTCCATTGGTGCATCCCCCTTTAATTTCTACTGTCGCCATACCCTACCGGTACTGGTGTGTGCTATCAGCCCCGTTCAGCCAACGAGGTTGGCCCTCGGTACCTGATATTTCCCCCCATCTACCAGAGGCATTGGAAACTACTTGGGCAGGAGACTTGTTGCCTAATTTATTGCTCAGAGGTCTCCTAGAGACATGAGGATCTTTTACGTGCCGTAAATCTACGACACGGGACCCACGGCTTAAAGTCCCTCCCGGAGGACTAGTTCCCTGNTTTCCGCTCTTAAAAATTCTACGACCTCCGCCGGGTTTGAACCCGTGTATCTTGAATCATGAGATGGGAATGTTACCCCTAGACTACGGAGGCAGCTTACACAATGGGTAACAGGGCATGAAGCTGACCACTCGCCTCCATCTAGTGAAGTCAAATATCCCCACTTCCCCATATGCCTTCACAGCATGCTGGTTATTTAATGGCTACAGCTTAACCCAGCATGTTTCTCATGTTATATATTTTGTTGCAAGGTAATGAAATTGGTGATTTCTTTTTCAGTAATTTTGGAATGTACTTCTCAATTATGAGAAACAGAAATCTGGTTTATGAACTCTTTAACTTTGTCTGGGAATGCAATTGTTATAAGAGCATGGGCTGCCTGTAGAGTATTACTGAAAATGGATCATAACTATGAACTTCAATGTTGTGTGCATGCACAGCAGGGATCCAATATACATGTGCAATTGCACCATTCTTTGTTTTCAGTATACCTCTATGACCCTGACACTCATTTACTGCAGACACAAACCTACTTCTTTAAAGCTAATAAACAAAACAGTGTAACTTACTTTCTACTGGATTTCATGGTAAGTTATTTTGAAAATGTTTCAAGTAAACAACGTACATATTAATGAGATGCATATTTAATACCACATAATTCTTTCTGCAAAAAGTCATTAAGAAACACATGAAATTCCACTGGAGCTAAAAATAAATCAGACCACTGGAATCAATGGAGATCAATACAATATTCATCAGTGAGCTCTGAGCAAAGCGTGTGTAAATATACTGTCCATAGTTGAATATTTTATTTTGTGACATCAGCCCAATTCTCAATTCTTCTAACGAAAAAGGCCCATGGAATATTCAGAATGAAAGGGATTCCTTGTCAGTAGTTTGGCACAAAACTATTTCAATACAAATTATTTCATTAGAAAATGAGGTTTTACCTTGCCACCAGATGCACACAAAGAGCCATCTGGTGAGACAGTAACAGTGTTCAAATAGCCAGTGTGTCCATTGTGGTTGATCTTCAACCTACAGTTTGTCAGATTCCACACCTGAAAAGCAAACAAATGCAATCAACCAAGACGCAGAGATTTTCATAAGCATACTGGAATGTTGTGTGAATTAGCAAATACTATCTGATGCAATTTTCATGTCCATTTTTGCAACATACCCTCCCCCCCATGTTCAACTTAACAAGGGAGTAAAAGAGAACAAGTATTTTCAAAATATGAATTCTGAAGTCAGCAGCAGAACTTTTTATCTACTTGCAAAGGTCAAATATTTGTCCACTACCATTTTTATACTTGCAGCAAACATACATTTTATGGCAAATGGCTTCAAATAATATACCTCATCTGAAACACGACAGACAAATAGGAAGAACAAACAAAAACAAACTCTGTGATTTTAGTCCGCAAGTGAACTATACTGCCTCTGTGGTCTAGTGGTCAAGAGTTCCTGACTACAGATCAAGAGGTTTGAGTTCGATTCCTGGAACTACCAGATTTTCTTAGTAGTAGTGGGTCTGGAATGGGGTCCACTCAGCCTCGTGAGGATAACTGAGGCACCATTCCAAGGACAAGTGGCTCCAGTCTAGAAAACCGAAATTAACGGCCATGGGGATTCACTGTGCTAACTACATGACACCCTCTATATGCTAAAGTTGGCACTAACTTCGCCGACAAGCGGAAGTTGTCGATATACAGGAAGCAACACAAGCTTTAAAATTACACATAAAGTAATAATAATAATAAAAGTAAAGCTATCCCTGATCCAGGCTGTGAAGGCCCATAGGGTTGTGAGACGTTGAGGGTCCCACATTATGTAGACAGTCTGCTCAAAGATGGCGGTAAGGTTGTCAGCCTTACACACTGGCCGCACTTTACTCCCCAGGAAAATTATTTAGTTAATTCCTAGTACTCATTTTTGTTAGAGGCTGAGTAAAACCCAGGGCCATAGCGCAGCTGGAAGGATTAGGTAAACTGAAAAAAATCCAATGACATCAGGATTTGAACCCGTGACCTTCCAGCTTGTAGCATGGCCCTTCAACCAACTATGCTACCACGTTAAAATTACACATGTTCAAAAAATTATATTTTTTCTGCCTGCAAATCAGTATGCACAAGGGACAAAACTTGAACACAAAAATCAAACCAATAAGTTCTGCAAATGAGGTGGGTGGGCAGGCTTATGTGAATTTTTAAATTAAATGAAGGCAAGCCAAAAACCAGATGCACAAAGTATGAACATCTAACCATTAACATGATCAAGAGTGATAACAAAGTTGAGTTACAGAGGCAAAGAGTAGAAACTAACTTCACGGAGCTGAGCCCTTCTTGAAAAGCAGCCAGTTGTGCAGCTACTCAATAACTTCCCTACATATTCTGAAATCCAAAGGTTCATTACTGTGTTCACAAGAGCCCTCCACTACTCCCTATCCTCAGCCAGATTGATCCAGACCATACCACCCCATCATCTCTCTCTAAGATCCAATTTAATATTGTCACATGTAGGAGGGTATGCGTGACTAATAAATGTGGATTCTAAATTTGATAATCAGGTTTATTTGATATCAGTATTACAATCACACTCAGTTTTAACAGTTCACACACTTCCTGTGTTTTCTCATATTCTGGTTCTACTTCTGCAGCTGGCCTACTTTTATCCCTGCTAAGCAACTGGGATAGGAATCACCTCCTTATTTTCATATCCATGGTAACAGTCTGTTGCGGAAGTTGTTATTGTGCAGCCTACAATTCACTGCTGTGGTTATCGGCTTTCAATAGCGAAACAGTGAACCACAGTACTAGAACTGTTGTGTATCAATGGGCACATATTCTTGGGAATACATTCACCCAGCTGTTGGCTGGCAATGAAGGTCTGGCTCAGACTCCAATAATTCAGCTTTTTGGCCATGTGGCAGAGTATTATCCATCCACCTACAGTTTGGTCTTCCTAGTGGTCTCTTTCCTTCTGGCTTTCCCACCAATATCCTACTTGCATTCCTCTTCCCCCATTTCGTGCTACAGGCCATGCCCATCTCATCTTCCTTGACTTGACCACTGTAATTATACTTGGCAAAGAGTACAAGTTATGAAGCTCCTCGTTATGCAGTTTTCTCTAATCTCCCATCATTTCATTCTTCTTCAGTCCAAATATTCTCAGCATCCTCAGTATATGTTCTCCCTTAATGTCAGAGACCAAGTTTCACATCCATACAGAATCACACACAAAATTATAATTTTGATTACTCTAATGTTTATGTTTATAGACAGCAGATAAGACAAAAGGTTTTGGACTGAATGGTAGTAAACATTACCCAAATTCAATCTCCTCTTAATTTCCTCCTGAAACAAGTTTTGATGTGTTACTCCCATTTCCAAATGTCTGAACTGTGCCACATTTCCAACACATCTGTTAGCTATCCATGTCATGATTTTGCCCTGGATTCGGATGACAAGACAGCAACATATACTTGGTTTTCTTTGTGTTTACTTCTAGACCAAACTCCTTACTTGAGTCAATTAAAAGTTTGCGTGTTTTTCTTTAAGGTATTTATATTACCACCCAGCAGATTCACATCTTCACAGACCAACAGCTAATGTGTCCCGTTTAATTTCAGTCCTCACTGGTTTTCCTGGACCATCCTAATGACATATTCTATAGCAAAGTTTAAAATAAGTGGCAATAAAGCAACTCTTTGTTTTAGACCACTCTGGATAGTAAATTTATTTGACAATGTATACCTATATGGACTTCACTATACGTTTTGTTTAATCAGCCTAACTAGTTTCATGGGTACCCCAAACTCTATAAGAATACTGTACAACACTTCCTAACTGAATCACTGAAGACTACGAACAGCTGATGTACTCTCTCATTGTACTTCCATTTTTTTCTCCAGTATCTGATGACTGCAAAAGATTTCATCAGTAATTGATCTGTTAACATCAAAACCCACACTGATGATTCAATAATTTCATCTACGAAGCTTGTCCACAAAGTAAGTTTCCCTGGGTGCGCGTTTACAGAAACAAAACACAATTTAATGGAAATATCTATTGCAACAGATACAGCAAGTGTTCAGATATTTTTTAACATAATCGCCACTGGAATTGACATTTGTCATACCGTGGAACCAACTTTTGAATACCTGTGTCGTAGAAGTCTGCCGCCTGGGATTCGAACCACTGTGACAACCATCTCCGCCTTCTCTGTCATTCTCAAAACGCTGACGCTCACCGGACAAGAATATCTTGAGGTGTAAGAAAAGATGGAAATCACTGGGAGCGAGGTCTGGGCTGTGGGGTGGATGATTAAACACCTCCCAGCTGAACTCCTGCAGGAGACTTGCTGTCCGTCGAGCCGTGCGCGGCCTAGCATTATTGTGCAGGAAGACAACACCGGCACTAAGCATCCTGTGCCACTTGTTCTGAATGGTCTGCCGCAATTTCTGCAGTGTTTCACAGTAACGCTCAGCATTCACCGTCTCACCTCTGGTCAGGAAGTCGATGTGGAGAACATCCCGTCTGTCCCAGAATACCGTGCACACCACTTTCCGCCCAGACTGCTTGAATTTCATCTTACAGGGAGATCCACTGTGACGCCAATGCATTGACAGCTGCTTCGTTTCTGGGGGTGATGTGTGCAATCCACGTTTCATCACTTGTGATGATCCGGTCCAGAAACTCGTTGCCGTCATCATGGTACCGCTGCAGAAATGTCAATGCTGACTCCATGGGCTTTGTTTTGTGTTCTGGTGTCAGTTGCTTTGGCACCCACCTGGTGCACAATTTCCTGAACAACAGGTGCTCCGTGACAATTTTGTGCAACAAGAGCGAGAAATCTGCGGGACATGACTGCTGAGTTCCGTAATTGTGACGCGACGATTCTCCACAAGCTCCACCAGGTCGTCTGTAATGATGGATGGCCGCCCACTGCATTTCTCATCATGCACACTTTGTCGACTGCTGAAAATTGTCTGCACCAGCGACGCACCATCTGCTTGCTCATGACGTTAGGCCCATAGACCCGGCACAGCTGATGATGAATTTCAATCGGCGATATGCTCTGTGCATTCAAGAACTTTATCACTGACTGCACTTCACAGTCGGCGGGAGCTGGAATAAGAGCCTCCATCTTCAACAGCTGCAATGATGCTACTGTGAGAACGCGGGCAATTCCGTTAGTGCATGCGCCATGCTACGTCATTGCTCTATCACGTACACGCCGTCACTTCGTGCAATATAATGTTTGCTAGCTGTGGGACAAGTGGGAAACTTACTTTGTGGACGTGCTACGTATATACAGGGTGTTTTACGACTTTAGGGCATAACTGCAGGAGGTGACTGCCTAGGTCTTTATGATCAAAAAAGTTCATATAAACATGTGTCCGATTTTGGAGGGTTACAGAGTTATGACCGTTTTAAACTCAGAATAGAAGGTAATGATTACTGACAATAAACGGAACAAAATAATAAACCAACATAATACGTGATACATTTAAAGTATGAATGTAAAGTTAACTTCGTGAAATTACCCTTAATTTGAACTGATTGGTGCTTAAAGCTGATTTTCGAAAATGCCACCGCCGGCTGCAACACAGGCTGCCACTTGGTTGTGAACCGCGCAGGTAGCACGTAGCAGTTTCAGCTGGATGTTTCTTATGTGGTCAGCAGCGTCCAGAATGCAATTGAGTAAAACATCTCGCATTGTCACCTTCACATTGTAAACCAGTTCTTTCATCCATCCCCACACACAATAATTCAGTGGGCTTAAGTGTGGAGACCTGGCTGGCAATTCTTCACATACTCGTACGTGGACTGCGGTGTGCCATACAAACAATGCCTTCTTCATTGACACCTTCATTAACACCACATTCGGCTGCAATACGAACGCCAGGAAGTCTACTGGTATCTCACAATGCCTGGTAAACTCCAGTAAACACTCTCCGGTTCGGTATTCTATGATTCGGAAACCATTGCTGATATTTAGCTACGGCAAGAACTGAGTGACTGTCACAAAACCCGTACACATAAATCATATCTGCATACTCCTCAAATGAAAATGTAAATGGCATCGTGAATGTAACAGATGCACCGAGATGAGAACTGTTCTGAACACCAGTAGCCGCCACATTAGTTATGGCCGGACATACCAACCCACTACGCCTTAGGTATCTCTCAAGTTCTGAACTAACGAAAACGCTGTCTGTAGCTGGCTAAAAATAGCGATCTGCCAGATGACAGACACAGTTCACACGAGGGGATGTACGGGAATGAAAAAACGGTCATAACTCCGTAACCGTCCAAAATTGGACACATGTTTATGTGAACTTTTTTGATCACAAAGACCTACGAAATCACCTCCTGCAGTTATGCCCTGAAGTCGTGAAACACCCTGTACAGACTTAACTTTGAGAAAAGAATGTTGGATAAAATGTTGTATGAAGTTGATAGCAGTGATATCCCATGATAATTATTACAGTGAAGTTTTTTTATCACCCTTCTTGTGAACTGGTACAATAACAGACTCATTCCACTGATCAGGCAATTTTTCTTTATTCCAAATAGAATTAATCAGCTTATGGATCTCAAAATGTGGCATTTCACCTCCTGCTTGAATAAGTTCTGCCAGAATTTCATCACTACCTGGCGATTTATACTTTTCAGCTCTGTGATTGCAATTTCAACCTCAGAAGGACTAGGATCTGATACTAATGGCTCCGCTGTATGCACTTCTATCTGCCCAACATCACTGATCCTATGTACATTCGATATCTGAGAGAAGTATTTCTTCCACCTATTCAAAATATTGTGGAAATCTGAAAGCAGATCACCAATCTTACCATCCACTCAGTTACTTCTTGGGTGGTGACCACTCTTAAAGTCATTTATTCCTTTACACAGGTCTCTAATGTTCTTGTTCGTATTGTTCATTGCAAGCTCATCAATTTTGTCCCAGAGGGAGGAAGAGAAGAAACTCCATCTCAAAGAGGATAGGATTTCAAGGTAAATATGTAAGTGCTTCAAACTGTCAGAACCAAACTGAATGCAGCAATAAAGGAAAGAAAAAACTGGGATAAAAAGTGTTACTGAATTATGCAAACACCTCTAGTTCCGTAAGATTTGAGGTTTTCATGGTGGTGACTATGAAGAAAGCAGTCTTCTGGGATGTGGCGCCATGTAGATGTGGGGTTAACCGACATTTTGGAGTAACATACCGCCTACATATTCAGGGTAGGATTTACGGATTTTATTTTTTCCCTTCTACCCTGAAGATGGAGGCGATACATTCCTTCGAAACGTCGGTTAACACCACAGTTACACGGTGCCACATCCTAGAAGACTGCTTTCTTCACCTCTAGTTCCACCCACACTTACAACAACCTTGAAACTGGAATTTTGAATAGGCATATATAATGGATACAATACAAACATTTTTCACATGCCAAGGTCTAATCTACATTTTATATCCTAAAATTTGTTTGGAAGCAAAAGTACCTTTCATGTTCGAGGCATACTCTGACATAGTGCACTATTTGTGTCAATATTTTCTACCTGATCATGTAGAAACATAACTTCTTTGCATAAACATAAAGTTTTGGAGGTTATCAGATTTCAAAACATGCACCTTAACTGAAAGACCATTGTTGTAAAATTAGAGGTACTCATAGTGGCAAATATGAAGATTATGACCTTCTGGATTGTGATATCATAGTGTTTGTTAGACATGTAGTTCAGTCATATTGGGGGGGGGGATAGCAAAAACATCAACTGAAGTGAAACACCATTAGTATGGCTCATAATGAGAACTTCATTATACTGACAAAAACTACTGGAATGTCAGTTTCCTATTATATACATGGAAAACCACTACAAAAAAACAAGGACTTCTAACATAGTCCATATAAGCAAGCACAGTACTGCTGTGATTTAAATCACTTGATGTGTGATGTCTATTACCAAGATCTGATAAAAGTTGATGCATTTACTCTTGTGTATGCACATGCAGTGAATGACAGTTGGGACTTGCAAAGGATGTCCCCTAATTAGATGTCTCTTGCAAGGAGAATATGGTACTCGTATGCAAGTTTATGAAAATCTCTAATTAAGCCTGTTCTGATATTGAAACGATGAGAATGTTGAATTATCATTTAAACTTTAGTGCTCTGCTCTACTGTGGCATACAGGCCCTTTGCTAGGTGTGACTGCAGACAGCAGCTGTTGCTAAGTAATGCCCACAACATACACATGTGCAATAGAACAATGGTGTTATGCAACCTGTTCTAAGCAATGCATCTGTAAACACACATCTACATCAATAGTTACTGATGGAAACAGTGTTTTCTATTCGGTCCATGCGATGTGGTTATAAAGAGAACTGGGGAAACCAGTGCAGTTGAGAGTTGAAAGTCAGGCTGTGAAGAAAAGAGTGTGCATGCGAAAAGAAGACTTGTGTGTGCTGTGGTTACAGCCAGACTGGTATGATTACTGTGTTATTAACTGTTGCTAGGATACAACAAGTGAAGACAGAGAAGATTTTGCATGTCCTAGTGATTTGTTACCCATGGAAATCAGTGATACCACTGTAGTTACTTGTAGTTTTGAATGGCGTGTACAAATCGTCAATAAATCCATTTGCCAATCCAAACCCTGTGTACAGTCACCCCAAAATTATGTCAGTAATTAAACCTAACTGGAAGTTCGGGATGGACTAGCAGTTATGTATTTTATCTAATTTCTATATCAGAATTATCAGTCAGAATGTGTATTTTTACAGACCTTACATTTTCGTATAACATTGAAGCAGCACTCACTGGTTCAGAGTGCACACTTTTACCAAAACCAGAAGAGAAATTCCGAAGAACAAAAGGGTAAGTGGCAGATGACCATTTTGAATTAAAATAAAAGTACATACCATTATGCAAACATAAGTAATATCATGGACACACAAAAAAATCATGGCCAAATTCGGCCAGACTATAAAAAGCAATTATCACCTTCACAACTCTGTCCCATCCAGCAGATACTATAATTGGATTTGAGTGGTTTGGAGAAAAACGAACACAAGACACCCAGTCTCCATGGCCATCATCCTGAAATAAAAAACTATATCACAAGACCTGCCTCTAGACTGTAATGGGTTAGATGAATCCAATCCACACCCTCACATCATAATAAGAGAAACTGATGACTCTTGAACATTATTGAGAAAGAGCCAATGAAAACAAATATATATTTTATTCATTCCCCTCCTCCCAGCAACACAGTTCAACTAGTATATACATTTACTAAAATATTCATTTTAATGAAAATCCCAACTTGAAACAGAAAATGAGTTCCCTTATTTATTACATATGAAGTGCAAATGACATATTAAAAGTGAAGTCTTAATATGCTCAATGAAATAAAAATCTCGAGGATCCAGTCAATTTTCACATTACACTACATCATATACAATGCAAAACGGTGAAGTTCTTGAGCTACAATGAAACAAATTTAAAAAATACCAAAATTAAATGTGAATACAACTGTTAATGAAGTACAGAGAACTTTTCTTAATGGCAATAGAGGGTAGAAGAAGCATGGATAATTAAGCACAGATCATCTAGGGATCTAGAAATACCCAATTTCCAGGCTGTACTCAAACCTGAAAATCATTTAATTATTATCTGATATAATCCTTTAAACTTATGCATCTTCTATAGCTGTTTCCTCAATGTAATGAACTTCACTGCAATTGTATAAATTACAGACCATGCATAATACAAATCTATGCAAAACAAAAAATCAACAAATGTTGAGGCACTTAAAGTGCAGTCTATACCAAGCCTGATTAGATCAATTTTAGACTCTGTCACTATACAACTACTTCGCAACACTCTCTCACATTCAATCAATACTTCTTGTAATTTCATGCTTTTAATCTTTACATGTATTCAATTACATTGCAACCTTGCACGCCTTATACAACATATAGTTTCAACAGATATTACTCAAGAGGTACAAACCAAATTTATGGAAAACTATATTTGAATAAAAAATGTCATATCATCTGATACTTGGTGGCCATCTCATCATGAGATAATATGGGCGGAACAAAGAATTATACACTTACTTGAATGGTGTACTTGCATTCTGCCAATGTATTCCACAGTTTGATAGTCTTGTCACGACTGCCTGACACAATCTGGCGATTATCCACAGAGAAGGCAACACTAAGCACATCCTGGACAATTAAAATACCACTGTACCAAAATGAATTTGAATGATCATGCTACACCAAAGTGTCAGTATATCAACTGCTGAGAATGTTCATACTTACAACTGATGTATTCTAATCCACCTCTTCTAAATTCTACTTAAAAAAAAAATGTATACAAAAAAGCTTCCTTCCAAATCTTCAGCCAAAAAAAAATATTCTTCTGCCTCAGCAGTGAATAAAAAAATTATACAAAAAAGCTTCCACAAGTTACAATCAGGCTCTGAAGGGAGATATGGAGAACATCATCACACCTTGGTATGATCTTCAAACCTCCTTGTGGTTCGACCAGCAGCTAAGTCCCATAGTCTCAGTGTTTTGTCCCAAGAACCCGAAAGAGCATAATTGCCATCAGAAGAAAGAACAACATCACTGACAAAATGGGAGTGTCCATAAAGACGCTTTTGTGGGACACCATAATTGGTTTCATCTCTTGTCAGTTTCCACACAATCAAGGTTTTATCTGAAACAAGTAATAATTACCAACAGGTTTTATAACCAACCTATTTACCTGCTATTAGTGGAATGTATTAACCTTTAAGAGATGGCCATTTAAATTCCGGTAGTGGCAGCAGGGACGGATTTAATTTAAATGCCTGTCATTGTAGAGTAATAAAAATTGTAATCATGTTACTCAAAATGCTGTGATTTCTACAATTTTTGTGATAAACGAACGAAATAAACGCTGCTTTTATCTAGAAAGAATATAGAATCAGTTATTGTAATTTACCGATTTTAAAATCTCTAAAAAATTTTACACTGATGCCAAAAAATTTTTTCCCTCAATTTCAAACGTCTGTGCACAAAAATGCATACAGTTCCTGCACAAAACATTTCTGCAGTCTGAATGTCTGCTGGGGACATCATGCTCTAATTATGGCTTGTGTGGCTACAGGGTCGGATGTTTACGCTTCGTTCATCATTCTCCAGTTCGTAGGTTCCTTTCGGTATGCACGGGTGTGGGCAATGTCTAATCGTTCGCAGAAACACTGACTGTGTATTATCTCGTAGCCAAACAAGAAGTAGTCTGTTTTGAAATATAGCCGAGCAGTGTCAGAACGTTCAAGGCTAGCGTTGTGTTTCGCTGTCCACCATGGCCTCGTATTTGGAAGACGCTGAAATTGAGAATCAGCTTATAAATGACACCGATTCAGACTGTTGTACCGATGACTCTGAGAGTTGCGAGGAAGCAAGTGAATCAGAAATTGAAGTCGATGAAGAACCATCATCTTCGTTGGCAACCTGGGGACCACCACACCAACGTGGCAAGAGGAGTGTGAATAATTATTCAGGTGGAGCTGTGGGCAAACTGTGGCAAACAGTTATAGCATCTGTCGTCGAACCTGGAAATGGACAAATAAACTATTTTTCCATCTCCTGGATCTGAACAGTTACATCCTGTTGTCACACAGAGAATTTCGTCTCGCTCTTGTGCGGAACATGCTGGAAGGGGTCCACTTCGCCCTCAACAGCCCAGGGGTCGAACCCCTGCCGTTTCATCGGGGTCATTTCGAATAGAGGAGGCCAAACAACAGCACTGGCCGACTTCCTCTACTTCGAAATTGAGGTATCGAGTGTGCTCTTCGTGTGGGAAACAAAGAACCGTCCGGATAAAGTGCGTGAAGTGTGATGTGGGACTCTGCATTTCCGGATGTTTCCAAGATTTCCACACGAAGCCAACATTCCGTTAGACGATGCAGGTGGGAAGAGAGAAAACTTATAAAGCTGGTGACCAAAAATCATGTAAGTAGAAAAAGAATTTATAACTTAAAATTAGATTTTAAAAAGCCGGCCTCATGCGTGGACTGCGCGACGACATATGGCGTCATTCGTCCCCTTGACTTTATTTTAATGATGCCATATGGCGTCGCTCAGCTCTTAAAGGTTAAACAAACAGACACTTAGGTTCCTAGCATAATGGTTTCATATTACAGACTTCAAACATTTTTACTCACAGGAAAGATCTACAGCATTTCAAAAAAGTCAAACTTATAGTTTCACAACTGAGTTTTTTTATATATATAGTACTACACTCAAAAAACGGGGGCCAGAATAGTGCAGTTGGTACAGTGACTAGCTACAGGCTGGTTGGCCAAGGGAGGGGAAAAGACTTTTCTCCTCTTCATGTCATCAAAACTTGCTCTGGACCCCCAAAACTTCCTATCCAATGGATAACTGGGGCTGTCACAAAGGATGGATACAATATACACAAGAATATAGGAAAAACACTCCCATAAGAGAGGACTGACGTAACTCGCGAAATTTTAAGTGTGACGTATAGATGATAAATCTTGAAAAGTTTCAATATACAAACTTTATTATTATACATGACATATATACATTTTAATCATTTTATAAAGGAGACAAGATGGCATACAGTGCAACGATTTGACGTAAATAAAACCACACCTGAAGATGGCACATTAGTGCCAAAACATGTAGTGAAGAGAAAGGTGAAATCGCGTGCGCTGTAAGACGGTTGGTACAAATACACATTATGGACGTGAATCCGTGCAACAGGACGCTAAAATATAGCATTATTAACAAAACTCCGTGGCTTTAGTCCGCAAGCGAATTATACCAACCGAGCGACCGCACTTGTTGGCGAAGTTAGTCCCAACTTTAGCGGATAGAGGGTGTCACGTGTTTAGCGCAACAAATCCCCACAGCCATTAATTTCGGTTTTCTAGACCGGAGCCACTACTTTTCCATTCAAGCAGCTCCCCAATTATCCTCATGAGGCTGAGTGTATTCCATTCCAGAACCACTACTACTCAGAAAATCCAGTAGTTCCGAGAATCGAACCTGGGTCCTCTGGATCTGTAGCCAGGAACTCTGACCACTAGACCACAGAGGCGGTGGTGACTCCCTAAACCCCCACAATATTCAATATAGCAACTGCAGCTGAAGTGAACACTGTTTAGACAGAAACAAATAAATATCAAGTACCCCATCTTGAATGTAACAATGTGCAGTCTGTTAGAAGTCCAGTGATGCACTCTTCACAGTCACCACTGTGTGAACACCAAATCCAGCACACATATACATTTATATAGATGACATGGCAATGGCTTACAGTGATACAAGAACTGTGGAAGTCAAAAGTCTAATATACTGTGCATTAAAAACTTTACAATAAACACTCTCAAGACAAAAATGATAGGGAGTACAGCACAGAGATAAAATTGACTATAACAGCAAAGATTAAAATTTAGAACTATGGTATCTTGGAATAACACTACAAACCAGGGAGGTTTTCACTGTGCACATATATGAGAAAGCTGGATCTGTGACACGATCGACACTGAACATCAAATGCTTGACGAATATTATCACTGGAAATGCTGCTGATCTGCAATGACAACTGTATGAGATAACCTACCAACAGATCACCACACTTCTAAACAAAACCTAGCAAGTATCAAGAATCACAATTTCATGCCTTGCAAATGTTCTGGCAAAACAAACGCAATTAATACAGGATGAAAGCATCACACTACTATTGCAACGACAAATGTGGCGAGAGCACTTATTAAACGAAGCTTCAACAAGGTTGCATGGAGCAATAACATTCTAGTGGATAATAATTGCAGTAAATGTAATAAAGTAGTTAGAAATGGAATATTATATGATGACTGCGATAAATGGTATCATTTTAATAAATGTAGTACTGTGAGTGAAGACAAAATACCCGATACCAATGGCGCTGTGTTTCATGTTCAACGTGGAACGACCTGACAAATGAGAGACTGGGGAGTACAACAACAGCGAAGTCCTTCGTAAGCTGATAGAAGAAATATGGTCCTTGCGGGAAATTATATTCGTCCTGCAGAGTGAGAGAATTCAACATATGCATCTCCCGGTACACCATGAAGATGATGATAACTGGTGCCAAGTAGCAAGAGGAAAATCAAGAAAAGGTAAAAAAAAGTGGCTCAGCATTCTCCAGTTTCAACGAGTAACAGATTTAACACACTAAATGAAGTTGCTGATGAGACTGAACAGAGGAAAGAATTAAATCGCCCAAAGGTGAACGTAAAAAAGAAAAATAAACTGATATTCTATAGCGATAGTTATGGCCGAGATATACGTATGTCACTCAGTAAAACTAATGTGGATATCTTAGTGTATGGTGAAGTTGGGCCTGGTGCTAAGGTGAAAGATGTACTGAAAAACTGTATAAAAGAATGTGCAATATCAGGCCCTCAGGACCATTTTGTAATTATGCGGGGTGCCAATGACATTTTCAGGAATGAAACAAAGAATTGTATAACAACTTTAAAAAGTACACTTTCTGCATTGACCTCTACAAATGTTGTGGTTCTCAATATACCAACTACGCATGATTTAATAAAAGAATCAATAGTAAATAAGGAAAGCAAATATGGACATAAACAAGGTATGTAAAAGATTCAGAAATGTAAGAGTACTAAGCAACATAAGCAGAGCCTGTCATACGGGGCATGGACAACACCTAAACAAAACAGGCAAAGAGCACATATCTCAAGAAATAAGTAAAATAGGCAAAACAGAAAAAAAAATCACTTAAATGTAATAGCTTTAAGCGACTCAAACCAGGTAAACTAATAAAGGAGAGTGGATCCACAAGGCTCCAGTCATTAAAAAGTATAGAAACCAACTCGAGACAAAAGCTCAAAATAATACATCAATGGACAATATCTCAGTAATAAAACTGAACTATTCACAGCATTCCTTCAAAGTGCCACCACAGATATACTGGCAATTTCTGAACATGGTTTTAAACATGATGAAATTACTCAATGTATATTAGGAGGATATACTGCAGCCTCACACTTCGGCAGAAAAGATCAAAAAGGGGGTGAGATAGCTATTTACAGTTCTAGGAACATACAACAACATAAACCTCTGAAATGGGTTACAGAAAAAAGTAGAGAAAAAACTTTTGAGGTTACTGGTATAGAACTAACATGTGAAAAGAAAAAAATAACAATCATTGCATTATATATGTAAGATTTGAGGCTTTCATGGCGGTAACACCACATATACACGGTGCCAAATCCCAGAAGAGTGCTTTCTTCATTGCATTATAATGGATCACCAAGTGGTGGAATAAACGAATTTTTTATCCATCTAATAGATATTCTGGAGAAACTAATCCAGAAAGACCAATATATCAGAGACTTAAACATAAACATCCAAGAAGGTGGAAGTAGTCACAAAAAATTATTAGATGTTACAAAAGGTTATAATCTGACTGTGACAATAAATACACCTACACGAGTAACTGAAAGTATGGCTACAACTACAGACCAAATCATAACTAATATACCGGCTAAATTCTATCATACTGAAGTAATAAACAGCCGACTTTCAGATCACTTTGTACAATGTATAACTATTAATATGTCTGTACCACAACAAACAAGATGTTACAAAGAGGTCAGGAACATATCAGAAGCCAATACAATAGGTCTATGCTCTTCAATACAAACTGAAACTTGGAAGTGTCTAGGGAAAATGAAGTAGAAAAAAAAACGACTGTTTTTATAGCATTTTTAACTATTATTTTAATATAGCCTGTCCCAAACTGAGGAGAAATACCATAAGAACTTCAAAACGCCCCTGGATAAAAAAGATGCTGTAATAGCAAGAACAAAACTAAAGGATCTGTACAACCTTTATATACAAAGTAAGATTCAGGAACATAGAGACATCTATAAAGCATATAAAAAGGAATATCATGTAATATTAAAAAACGCATAAGCAAACTACATTCAGAATATTATAACCAGATCAAGTAACACCCCAAAAATATTGTGGGAATTTGTTAACAGAGAAAGAGGCTCACCAAAAAAATACGCTCACTAGTAATATACACTTACAAGATGGAAATGAAATAGTCTCAAGTCTGAGCAGAACATGTAACATATTTTACAAAACCTTCATAGAAACTGTAAGTAAACTTATACTTGACAAAAATTTATTACATCCACAAACTAGTAATAACAATATAAGCATAAAGATTCACTTGTCCTATTAGAAATAACAGAGACTGAATTTATTAAAGTAATTCAGGGCATGAAGAATAAAAAGTAAGCAGGACTTGATGACATCTCGCCATATCTGCTAAAAAATGTACACCTTACATAATAAAGCCACTCTTAGAACTGGTCAATGCAGCAATCAATGAAGGCTTCTAAAGTAAAAAAATTAGTCAAACCTATCTACAAAAGATGATGCAAATACCTATCCTCCAATTACTCTTCTACCTGCCCTTTCAAAAGTTCTGGAAACAGTAATAGCTAACCAATTAATCGCATTTTTAGGAAAACACAATATACTTAATAAATCTCAGTTTGGATTTAGGAAAAATAAACCTACTAATGATGCAATTGCCACAATTATTGAAAACATAATAGAAAGTTTGAATGATAAAATAAAATGCAAATGTGTACTATTAGACTTATCAAAAGCCTTTGACTGTATTCAACATAACATTCTCATGGATAAATTATACAAATATGGAGTCCGTGGTATACCACATAAGCTATTCAAATCCTATCTCAGAAACACAACTCCACGCGTAAAAGTAACGCACACAGAAGGCAACTGTATGAAAGAATATTTGTCAAGTAGCCTCCCAGTGAGATACGGAGTCCCCCAGGGATTGGTCCCTGGCCCATTACTCTTCGTCTTGTATATAAACGATATCCCACATCTAACACAAGGCAGATCAATAATGTATGCTGATGACACATCAATACTGAATGTAGGACAAGATATGAATAAGCTCCAAAACACGACTTCATATAATATAGGAGTGGTAGAGCAATACTTTTGAGACAAATAATTTATTTATAAATCCATCTAAAACTCACTATATTCTCTCCCAGACAAAACAAGGCAGGAAGGAAAGTAATCTAAAAATTCTAAGAACAGGGAAATATAAAAAGCACAAATTTCCTGGGGGTAGTAATAGATAGTACCTTGAGCTTGGAATTACATACTGAAAAAACCTGCAGTAGAATTAGCCGTAACTTGTTCATAATTAACAGGCTATCTAAAATACTCAATTTAAATGAAAGAAGAATGTTGTATTATGGTTTGATCTATCCTGTGGAATAATAGTATTGGGACATAGTGCTAAAACCCTCACAAGAAGAATTTTTGTACTCCAAAAAGGGGCAGTAAGATACATTGCAGGGCTAAAACATCTGGAATTGTGCAGGGATTGCTTTAGAAATCTAAAGATACTAACAGTATACTTGCTATATATACAAGAAACAATCCTATATGTAAAAAAGAAAAAAGTGTAACTGCACAGTGAATGAACAAATACATACATATAACAAGAAATAATAAAGACTATCATATATGTATGGGCACAACTTAGAACTTTATAACACTAATCTTTAAGCAGCTGTCTGTATCTTTTACAACAAACTGCCTAAGAACATAAGAGAAATAGAAAACAAAAATCAGTTCACAAGCGAACTGAAGAAGTTACTTATTCAGAGGTGCTATTAGTCAATGGTGGACTATTTGAACGATGAATTCTCGAATATTGGCTACTGATATAAGCAGAAGTATATAGTATATAATGTACAACATGTTGTATCTCATACGTAACGACATGAGACATCTACTGTACGACAGTCGGAGAGCATAGAAATCTATTTGGTCGCTCTAATGTGAAAAGCTGGTAGTACGGCAAAAAAATTGTACAACATTTTTCGTGTACGACCGATGTCGCTGTTTTTTTTTCCACCCTTAGTTCACTTTTTTTTTGTGGGCAATCTACAATGTTGCATATCCAGAATTGGTCAACGTGTACAATCTGCGTCAATTGTTCAATATGATTAAAACGAGCAGTTTCTGTATCTGACGGGCTACTAAGAGAAAATTAGAAAATCAAACGCCTCAACCGTACTGATTATTCAAAGCACAGGCTGTGGACCATACTAATTTGATTACCTCGTTCGCTACGGCTCGTCGTATGTTGATCAACCCGAAATGGCCCATGCTTGTATTTTTTCTCTCGGGGCAAACTGTAAACTTTCCAAGAGATACTCAAGAAGAACCATTTCCACACATCTTTTACTTAATCTATGGGCCACCAATTAACAAACTCACGCTAATATACCCGCAGTCTTTAATCTTCAACACATATAACACACGCGTGCGGCATTTCTACTCACCTCGGGAACATGATAGAATCATATCAGGATATTTGGGATTTGTAGCAATCTGGGTAACCCAACCATTGTGCCCACGAAGTGTGCCTCTTAACTGAAGTGTTTCTGACATTATACCTCTATTTTAAAATCACGATTTACACGATGAACGTCGATAAAAGTTCTACTACACATCCACCATCACCTACGTACGGCTAAACCTCACAAGCCGGAAGAGACGATACTATACGTGCGTCGACAGTAGGCATCACATTCCGTAGTTTCTGTGACAGTAGATATCAGTACAGTACCAACATCTGCATTCGAAAATACCCGGATTGTGTTGACGCCCTACCTTAACAATATGTACCCTACAAACAAGTATCGATTATCATACTGAGCATTTGCTCCAGACTTTCTGTGGACATATTCTCCAATTAACTTCGTTTAATGTCCATGGAACAGGTCTCACGGGCAGTATAAAAGTATTTCACAGTTCCCTTGAACGCAGATTTTGAAACATCTGACCGATTTTCACGAAACTCGGAATGAACTAAGTCATTCAAGGCAGGTTAGTCGCTGGCTTCCCACCTCGGCGGCCCGAGTTCGATCCCGGGTCTCGTCAAGTGGGATTTGTGGTGGACAAAGTGGCGCTGGGGCGGGTTTTCTCCGAGTACTTCGGTTTCCCCTGCCAATCTTCATTCCACCAAATTCTCCATCATCGTAATAACCCGGGGCAGGCTACAATAGGCTAATCAGTGGCCGCCGTGCCGAGTGGACCCAGTTGGACTCCACCCCCCACTAAGCGAATTAAGAAAAAAAAAAAGAGAAATCATTCTACGCAACCCTAAAGCTAATATTTTCAGTTAACTATAATTAGCATTATAAACACGATATACACGCGAACTCATGAGGTGGGAGAAAATCGTAGCAACTAACTTTGGACAGCACATCTCCCTCATTGGTAGGCCTGACACATGTTAGGTTAGGTTGGCGCAACACAACACTGCGCGTTGAACTGCCTCTCTCTCACGTTTCTCATATGGGGGGGGGGACTCTAAAGAAGGACTAAGAAAAAAATTGAACTTTGTGAAAACAAATTATCATGTAAACATTGTTTTGTTAACTGTACCGCCTAGATACGACTTGGAAAGTTGGGCATGTATAATCGATGAGATAAAGAGTTTATAATAAGAAATTAAGAGAAATGTATCAAATTTTTTAAACATCTTACATTACTAAACCATGATCTACATAGAGCTCTCTATATAAGACAGGGCTCCATTTCAATAAAACTGTAAAAAATGCATTGGCTAGGAATATTGCTCTGCCTTGTTCTAAAATCTTCCACAGAGATATGAAACCAATTTAGAACATCGACAATCCCACATTAGTGACCCCGACTGAGCATGGACGCGGCAGACAGTTCGTCAGCAGAAGTGTCCAGAGTGGCCGTGAGGCTCCCGCCGTTCTGGCACGAGCGACGTCCAGGCCGAGGCGCAGTTCACCTTGGCCGGCATTAGCAGCGAGCGCATCAAGTTTTGCCACGTCCTCTCACCGCTGAACCACCGGTACGCCACAGAGATGGAGGATAACATCACCTCTCCGCCCGAACGAGACCCCTACACCCTACTGAGGTCCAAGCTTATGAGGCGGCTATCCCCATCGTCAGAACAGCGCATCCGGCAGCTCCTCACGGTCGAGGTAATTGGAGACCGTAAGCCTTCCCAGTTCCTGCGGTACCTCAAGAGTCTCGCACCTGACTTGTTGATAACGTCATCCGAAGCGTCTGGACCAGCCGGCTGCCCCGCAATGTACAGAGCTTCCTAGCCGGCCAGAACGAGAACTTGGAGGCCGCAGCCCTCTGTGTGGACCGCATCTCCGAGGTCGAAGTCCAGACGGCGCTCGCTAGCGTTGGTCAACCCACGGACAACGGCGCACTTCGGCAGGAGATCGCTGACCTTTCCCGCCAAGTGGCTGCACTCAGCACCGGACAAGACCGCCTCCACGCCTGCTTCAAGGAGCTCGATACCAAGCCGAAAGACCGAGGCTCCAGCCCCAAGAATTCCCGCCCCGCCTTAAACAGCCGCTGGCCTGGCAGCAGATCCCCCTCCCGTGGCGAAACCACATCCAGTACTTGTGGTACAATCGCCGCTTCGGCGCAAAAATGTACTCCACCCTGCTCATACCGCCAGCAGGGAAACTGACACAGCAGACATCATCGGCGGCACATGTCTGCGCTACGACAGGCCGTCTCTTCATAACGGACAGAGTCAACAAACGGCAGTTCCTGGTCGACACGGGTTCGGACATCAGTGTATACCCCCGCAGGCTCGTACATCGACGCATGGAACGTACCAACTATGACCTGTGTCCGGCTAATGGCACTACCATCCACACATACGGATGGCTGCCTCTCAGCCTCAACTTGGGTCTAAGCCGAGAATTCACGTGGCGGTTCGTGGTGGCCGACGTCACGCATCCTATCATCGGCGTGGACTTCCTATCGCATTTCGGTTTCCTGGTGGACTATCGGAACAACCGCATTCAGGGCGGGGTCACGAGTCTTTCAGCCCCGGCCTCAGCGGCCGACGCACTGATCCCCAGTGTAAAGACCATCAGCAACGACACACCGAACGACATCCTCACAGAGTTCCCGGATCTGAAACGCCCAGCCAGGGTCCAGTGCGAAATACGACAAAACACCGTCCACCACATCAGGACTGTACCTGGCCCACCACGGCGACTGGCACTGGACCGGCTCGCTATCGCAAAAGCCGAGTTCGATGCCATGTTGCGGGATGGTACAGCTCGCCGTTCTGAGTTCCTGGTCCTCGGAACTACACATGGTGCCCAAAAAAAAGACAACGGTTGGCGTCCATGCGGCGATTACAGAGCGCTCAACTCCCGAACCATCCCTGTCCACCCTTAAGACATACAGAAGACCGGCATCACCACTCCATTCTGCCTCTTCGAATTCCCATTCATGTCCTTCGGCCTGCGCAACGCCACCCAGACCTTCCAACGCTTCATGTCTGCGTGCCGCTGCTTGTCTTTACTACGTGTGCTGTCTGATGTCACACAGGAAGACTACACAGAATAACACCTGTACAGTGTGGAAACAAGAACTAGCCACTGCAGCACTTTAGACATAAGGCGAGTAACCCTAACAATTTAAAATTTAGAGAAAATTTTAAAGGATTTTAAAATTATAACTAAAGATTTCATAGTGCTACTACAGGAAAATCAAAACTGACGTGTGCAAAATAATCTACATACTAGACAGATATCAACGAGGTAGATGTTGATAATAACGAAGAAAGTAACGTGTTTTTTAAATGTTAATTTTAGACTGGGTTCAGTGTGGCAGCAACGTAAGGGTATACACCTGATGATGGCCACTAGAGGCTGAAACATGTAGTGTAGAAGAGAGCAAGATCAAAGACATATAATATATATTGTTTGCACTTGGGACGGAGTTTGTATCATTTGTCGCGTAGAGTGCAACAGGATGCTTAAATATAATATTATAAATAATCATTCTTGTGAAAATTACTCAAGGGAGGCAAGTAAATCTGATCCACTATGCAGATCAAGTATTTTAAAAAAATCTCTACTTAACAGACATGATTTTTTTATGGTGACGTCTGAAAGTAGGAAAGATGCAAATCATTTTAATGCCTTAAAACTAAAAAAAAAAAATTGTAATATTCATAAAGAAAATGTTAATAATAATGGTTTTAAAATTTACCATCAAAATATTCGAGGCCTGTTAAATACTAAGACCAGTGAAATTTACGCTCGCCTACATCAAGAATTTCCGCAAATACTCTGCATTACAGAACATCATTTAAATTATCACAAATTGGAAATTTGACTATAAGTAATTATAATTTAGGAACTACATAGTTATTGTAGGGAGTCTTTCATTATGGGAGGAGTTTGTATATACAGTATGTACATAACTCACTGGCTTTTGAAGTTATTAATATCAGAGAATTATGTATAGACAAAGCCATGGAGGCATGTACTGTAAAATGCAAATTTTTATCTAGTATATTCTGTATTTCAGCTATTTATAGGTATCTGTCCAGTAATTCTCCTTTATTTATTACCCAGTTAGAAACTGTTATCAAAAAAATTTATAAACCAAACTTACAAATGCTAGTTTGCCATGATTTTTATATAAATTATCTTGTAGACAATAATAAGAAGCAACAATTGAACTACATGCTGCAGTCTTTCAATTTATATAGTGTGGTTCATTTCCCAACTAGGATTAGCACTACAACTCAAACATTAATAGACAATATCTTTACAGACATTAAATTTGAATATTATATTATTCTTCCAGTATTTAATGGTTTATCTGACCATGATGGACAATTATTGTCTTTACATCAACAAGAGTAACATGCTTTATTATTGACAAACCAAATACACCACCTCAATCAACAGCCCTTTATTTATTTTTCCACATGATCGCCACTTCTTTGTATACATTTCTCCCAGCGTTCTGGGAGTTTGAAAATTCCCCTTCTATAAAATTCCATTTCAGCCATCCGAAGACACTGACGCACTGCTTTCTGAATTGCCTCCCTTGTCTCAAAACGTTGTCCACGCAGCTGATCCTTCACAAATCCGAAAAGATGGTAGTCGGAGGGTGCCAGATCAGGGTTATAGGAGGGGTGTGGAAGAACTTCCCACCCAATCTTTGCAATTGCTTCCAATGTGAGGCGAGTGGCATGGTGGCGAGTGTTGTCATGCAGGATGATCATGTTTCGTCCCGGACGTTTATCGCGCTATGCACGACGCAGTTTGTGCAGCGTCTGGACATAATGAGCAGCATTGATGGTTTGCCCAGGTTCCAGGAATTCGGCCAGAATAAATCCCTCTGCATCCCAGAAGACTGTGCCCATAACCATCACAGCTGATGGCACTGTCTTTGCCTTCTTTTTTGATGGAGAATGCAAATGGTGCCATTCCATACTCTGCTGTTTCATTACAGGCTCGAAATGGTGAAACCAGCTTTCGTCACCTGTCACAATACAGAGCAAAAAATCATCGCCTTTGTGTCAATATCTCTGTAGCGGTTCTGAGGTGATGGCTTTTCGCTGACCTTTGTGGTCTTCAGTCAATAACTGCGGGACCCAACAAGCACAAACTTTCCTATAGCCCAAGCTTTCAATCATCTCCTGTACTGCACTGTGCCCTATTCCAAGTTTTCGGGCTATTGTGTCCACAGTCACATGCCTGTCATCTTGAATGATCTCATCCACTCTTTCTTTGTTGCGTTCAGTTGAGGCTGTTCGAGGACGACCGCTCCGAGGCTCATCTTCGATGCTGGNTCAAGTGTCATGACAGGAATATACATATACACAGATCATGCAAATTGAGGTTTAAATATACGGAATGTAACTAAAAGGTATGGACAAACCTTGGGCAAGAGTTCCACATAAGAAAACGAGAAAAGATGTCAATTTATTTGAAAGGTAAACATATGAAATAATGCAATTCTAACAGCAATTCAGTCTTACAATGCAACACAAAAATCTATTTCACTAGACCTTTATCAGTTATACACTATTCATTAGCACAGTAATGAAAAAAGGAAAAAACTGTGTTGTCCTTATAAAAGTAAAGAATTAAATTTATGAATAATAAATCTAGATATACTCATTCAACAAAACAAATATCACATGCCTTATTAACTACAGACATTCATTATCACAGCACTGGAAAATATATATATAAAAAAAACTATCTTCTTAAGAAAAAAGTTCACGAATATCCAGATAATCTCAGTACAACAAATTAAATATCATATTACCTTATTAACTACACGAAGTATTGAAAATATCATTTGTATAAGCAACAGAGGGACATACCAATCTCTTCTTTGTAGTACTAAATTGAATACAAAGCCATCTGTGTTACCAAGTGAACTAAATATACCATACAGAATCATCTGTTGCTAGAACAAAAATGATTATTACTACATAACAAATGCTTCATCAGTACTGAAATAAAAATGTTGAGCTTTATAAGGAACTTTGTTATAATGCGCTTATGAGACATATGTAATTATTAACTTCAGACTAGAAGATGCATATCTGGTAGCAACAACTGTGCTAATGCAGCCATACCTGAAACTAAATAGCAATATTTCTTCTTAAACAAATGCTTAAAAGCACCCAGAAGGAACAATGATACTGTTTAACTGATAACAGAAGGCGTAACCTGCCAGGCACGAATGTGATTATCAGAGTAACCAGCAAACAGGGTTTGTCCATCACTAGACCATGCCAAGCAAAGGCAGTCTGGTGTTTGTGTGTCCAAGCCTGAAAACTGACTGATCACCTCAGGGCACAGCTCATCCACCAGCAGCTTTCCTTCTAAGTCCTAGAAATGGAGAATGAAAGAAAAAAAAAATCTTTGTTTGCATGCAGTTCACATTTCAGATGTGATGTAAACAGAACATGTACTGTACTATTTGTATTGTACTGAATTCATGCTAATTCCAACTTAAGCGATATATTAATATGCTACAAAAATTATATGCTGTTGGTAAAACCGAAGTACTCGGAGAAAACCAGCCCCAGCACCACTTTGTCCACCACAAATCCCACTTGACCAGACCTGGGATCGAACCTGGGCCACCACGGTGGGAAGCCAGCGACTAACTGCTTGAGCTATGGCGCGGCCCCACCCAAATCTTGATAGAGGGTCCAGTAGCTACACACATCCAGTAGCGGTTTGATGAGAAACAGAGGGCATTGATTTTGAGTATACAAATGTTTTTCAACAGTTTTTACATTCAAGCATACTGGAAAATCTACTCACCCAAATCTTGATAGAGGGTCCAGTAGCTGCACACAACCAGTAACGGTTTGGTGAGAAACAGAGGGCATTGATTATGCCCTTATGCTCCAGAGTATACAAATGTTTTTCATCATTTCAGTCCCATAGCATAACTGCCCAATCCTACCAAACACAAAAATCGTTTATATATATATATATTTTTTACATTTCAAGAATAGCCTTATTTGAACCTTACCTTAGTTCCTTAGTTAACAAATTAAGAAGACCAGAATCTTTCATTAGCTAGTTTAAGAGAACATCCAATTTAATAATCACATACCTTCCCTCCAGAAGCACAAAGGGAACCATCAGGTGATACTGTCACAGAATTCAGATAGGCAGTATGGCCAGTATGATCAGTCTTAAGTTTACAATTTGCAAGATTCCATACCTGTAAAAATAGACACGTTTAGTTCTAAAATTTAATATGATGGAGTCCAGCAGGTGGAATCCTGTTAACATTCTTTTGTAAGATTTGAGGCTTTCACGGCGGTGACTATGAAGAAAGCAGTCTTCTGGGATTTGGCACCGTGTATATGTGGTGTTAACCGACGTTTCGGAGGAACGTATCGCCCCCATCTTCAGGGTTGAAGAAAAAGTATAAGAATTCTGCAAGCGACAACACCGTGAGAAACGGTAAAGCAGACTGAAGAATATACTGTGTATTCTTCAGTCTGCTTTACCGTTTCTCACGGTGTTGTCGTTTGCAGAATTCTTATACTTTTTCTTCAGCCCTGAAGATGGGGGCGATACGTTCCTCCGAAACGTCGGTTAACACCACATATACACGGTGCCAAATCCCAGAAGACTGCTTTCTTCAACATTCTTTTGGTTTTATGAAGTCTGATGATCAATGATAAATAGAAATTTAAGGCAAGATATATACAGACTTCAATGTAATACTTGCATCAGCTTTTATGTCTTATTACACATTCAACATTAGAAATAAAAACTGCAATCTGAATCATGTCCTACCTTGACCCTTTTATCCCAGCCACAGGATACAATAATTGGGCTCTGTACATTTGGTGAGAACCTGACACATGAAACCCAGTCTGTATGGCCATCATCCTGAGAATAAGATAGTCAGCGTGAACTGTTAAATTAACTGTTACAATTAACAAGGTTTTATTTGGCAAAAAAAAAAAATGATGGGTGCTTTGTACATATTGTAGCATGCAGACCTGTTACTTGACCCTGAAAGAACATGCTGCTAGGTAACAGATTCTTAATAAGAAAGTATAAGCAGCCATTACTGAGTCACACCTTTGCAAACAAATATGTTCCCATGGAAACAACTGGAGTACACCAATAAATAGCGTTTTCTACGTGTTACATGCCAAGGGGTTATCAATGGGACAAGTTCAGAAGTTAGTGAGTTGTAATGGAGTCTGTCCGTGCAGGTGAGTACAGAAGCTGAATAATCTCCACTTTAGAAGCTGTTACCAGGGAATGACTAGTGAAGACAAAGCAAACTGAAAAGACTTGGCATGTGCTGTAAAGATTTATAAAGTGTGGAGATCAGTGATGGTGCTACAATTAAGTGAAGTCACAAGTTGTGTGTTAAAGTGGTCAGTAAATCCAATCTACAATCCAAAACCCCACCGATAGTCATTCATACACATGACAATATTTTGTACCCCTTTTCATTAAAACAATCTCCATAGACTAATTTTCACTGGTGGTATACAAAACTAGCATCTATAAAACTTACCTGCATTGTGTATTTACACTGTGCTAATGTATTCCAAAGTTTAATGCTTTTATCTCTACTACCAGACACAATTTGTCTGTTATCAGCTGAGAATGCAACACTTAATACATCCTGGAAAATAAACAAAAATTATTTTCTATTTCATTCAGGTTACTTCTCACAATTCTGAATGAGAAGCTGTACAGTAATACAAAGAAGTGAACGTCATTTGTATTTGCAGGTAATTAACTCTCACTGATCACAATGGCTGTGCATTCTATGGTATGAACTGTCTTTGCCCACTCAAATGCTGGGATTGTGGGTTTGAATTCCACTCAAGGCATGGATGTTTGTCTGTGTTTACTTTGTGTCTGTAAAGGTAGCGGCCTTGCAATGGCCTGATCCCTCGTCCAAGGAGTCCTACCAACTGTCTTAGGATTAAGAAACTGAAGTGAAACAAAGCATTTCATGGAGGCCCTATTCTCCAAAGTGTGGACAACAGGAAAGAGAAAGAAAGAAGAGAAAAAGGTGATTAACTCTCATGTCCCAATAATTATAGTAATTTAATTACACCAAGCTCATACAGTAAACAGTGTGCAGATATGGAATATACCTCAAAATCTAAATAAGCACACAAAATATGATCTTTATTACACAAAGTAGAACAGAAGATGGTCTTACAGCTTATTCTTTAGGCAATATAATTATTTTCTATCAATTGCAGTGGTTATGTTGCAGTGACTAAGATAAAGGTGTGTTAGGACAGAACACTGAAGTACAACTGTGGCTGTATGAACACATCTTTGTAATACATCCAAATTTAAAACTGTTGTATGTAAAAGAACATAAACATATATCTGCAAGCTAACAGTAAATTATACAGTGACCCAAGAGGAAAGGTCAATATTCTGGGAGGTCATATTATTGGTCATTCTAAGCAAAAAAGTGTATATGAACATGTGTCCTATTCCACAGAGCTATTTCACTGTACAGTTCCAAACTTATTGATAAGAAATAGATATTGCGTACTGTTTCTAATACTGGTATTCACTGTTCAAGTGACAAAGTTGGTGCAGTTTACCTAGTACAATACATTTCCAAAATTCCGCCATCAACATCATTGCACTTTGCAACTTGTGTGAGGACAAGGTGTGTTGCTCGTCTCAGTGCATCTTGATGTTCCTTTATGCGGGCGATAATATGAAATAGCTCTATCTCAGAAACCATTTGGAATTGGGCACATACATACACTTCTTTGCTTAGAATGGCTGATACTACGGCCTACCAGAATATTGACGTCTCCTCCTGGGACACCCTGTATATTAGGTTTAAATGGACCTTAACCATAAAATGTTTCATATTTTCATTGCACTTCATCTTACATACAGGGTGGGCCAGACTCAATTAGGCAGTTTTTGATTAGATGTTATTTTTATTGATAAATGTTAACAATTGCAATGGTTACAAAAATGGAATCACACACACATAAGTCATCGATTTTCAAGATGCTGGTCAACCTGGGCACCACCTAAGTCAACAGACAGGCTTGCAGACGCAAAGCAATATTTTCACACGCCTTTCTACCCATAGTGGAGGAATTGTTTTGGAAGAGACTGTGGACCTGTCATCTGATAGATTACTGATGATGATGATACTAAGACAATGGAGTGGAAATTTTCAAGTTTAGTTATAAATATTATATCTGGTGAAGCACAAGTTCTCTTCCTACAACAATAATGCATGGTATTGCTTAACAGATACTGTTTACTAGTTGGTATGGATCATTAAAAGTAAGAACACAAGTTCAATTTACAAACCTTACTGTGATTTACAAATTGGCGAGTGCTGACTCCTTTAGTTAGGTCCCAGAGTCTAAGAGTCTTATCCCAGGAACCCGAGAGAGCAAAATGACCATCTGAAGATATTACGGTATCACTAACAAAGTGACTATGGCCATGTAATCTTTTTTGAGGGATCCCAAAGTTTGTCTCATCACGAAGCAACTTCCATAATATCAAGGAGCGATCTGAGGATAAAAAAATACAAAACCAAAGCTTACTCTCCTAGATAACCAGCACAGCTCTAACAGAATTAACCTGTATGAACACCATGAGATGTGATCCTCATGGTAAGCACAAACTGGTCAGCCTTTCAAGTACTATTTCGTAACAAAGGCATTGAAGTGATACACAAACGCAAGGTGACGGTTCTCTATGAGTACTGGGCTAGGTTGTCAGACTTCCAATTGCACATCAATATATTACAGTACTATCATCATGCCATTATGTAGGCATACCTCGAGATGCTGATAACATCATGTCTGGATATTTTGAATTCGTAGTAACTTGCGTAACCCAACCACTATGACCTCTAAGAGTACCTCGCAATTGCAAAGACTCGGACATTTTTTCACGGCACCTGACCCTACCCTAAACCAAAATCTACGACCACACCTCAACAACTCTTGTTAAAATTCCCTCTGCAACTCTCTCCACGCTCTTCACTCAATATATAACGAGATAACGAACATGCGCCGCATGATGGCGCCAGGTTTGGTGCAAGAGACATTATCAAAGATTTTAAACTACACAGCACCGCACAGCACTTATTTGTGTGCATGTAAAGGGCGGAAACGGACATCTTAAAATAATGCTGACAAATAACTTACCTGGGAAGTAAAATCGCCCGATTTACAATTATCTCTTGTTATAAACGAATTACATATTATGTAGCTCAACGAATGTCGATATTGTAATAGACGATTGCATTCTGCAGTGTTACAAGTGAAATGTCTCATAATAATGTCCTTGTACATAATCTAAACCAATTATTATGAAGAGAACAAAATGTTTTATGGTCTACTTTGCAAATGGAAGATCTTAGAAGTAATAAAGTTAACTTTTTATTTTCCGTAACAATCTACACAACTTAAATCATTTTAGGTGTTAACATGATGTACCACCAGATGACGCAGAAATCAGTTTTTAGTATATACAGCATGACGTCACATTCAAGTGTTATCGGCCATCTTGAAGTGTATTTTGCTTCTAGGTACAGATAAATTAATTTCATATGCAATTTGTATGGTGTGAAGTTAGTTATATGTTCTGTGCATTTCATAAATAGTGATATTTGTTAAAATATATTTAAGTAGTCCAACGCAATGGAAGAAAAGGCTTCCTTGAAGGAATTAGATCAGTGGATAGAACAGTTGAATGAATGCAAACAACTGACAGAAAGCCAAGTAAAGACATTATGCGATAAGGTAAGAGGTATGATATAGTAAATTTGTGTCAGATTTTGAATTCAGTTTTATAATTGATATTTTATATGTATCATAATTTACTAGTATTAAATATTTAGATTTATGTGTATAGAAGACTTTGTAATCATACTTATAAGATTATTTTTAGTCATATCGTATAGAAATAGTGTGCCAGTGTTTCATATTGTAAAAACGGATAAGCCAAATTTAATACGTAATTAGTATATCCACGTCTGACACCAAAAGAACCATTTCTCTACTGTAAAGCTTACTGCATTTCAGGCAAAAGAAATATTAGCCAAAGAATCAAACGTACAGGAAGTAAAATGCCCTGTAACAGTTTGTGGAGATGTCCATGGACAGTTCCACGATTTGATGGAATTGTTCCGAATAGGTGGAAGGTCGCCAGACACAAACTACCTCTTCATGGGAGATTATGTTGACCGTGGGTATTATTCAGTGGAAACTGTTACACTACTAGTTGCATTGAAGGTAAGTGAATTATATTTTAATATGAATATGAATTGAAATATATGGAATTTTGAGACAGGTGAGGATGTTGAAGTCACAGTGTAGCATTCAGGAATTAGGAGAAGTACTTTTAAGGACCAAAACAGAAGTGAACTGAAAAATAAATGTTTTTTTGCAACATATGCATTATTGTAGGTAGGTTACATTAGATTATTGTGATTTAAGTGAAAAATAGAGTCTTTTTGTTTCTCTCATTTTCATCATCCCCTTCAGTACCTCACTTCTGAACATGGTATGTACTTGTCTATTCCAATTCAAACCAGGTTCCACATTTGTTCCATGAACTTGACATAACCTACGTTAATGTTACATTATGTACTTTTGTCATTAAATAAACTTTTAAAAGCAGAACATATTAATCCAGAAACATAAAAGGTAAAGTGCTTAACTAATTAAGCACTACACCATGAAGACATGGGGAAGTGGATATGTAGTCATGTAATTTTGACCTCGGCATTAGTTTGAGGTAAGTGGTGAGCTTCATGCCCTGGCCACTTTACCCATTGAATAGGAGGCTGGGAGAATCTCAAATCTGGTTTGGACGATGTGGAGGAAGAAAAATCTGGCCCTAAGCAGGACTTGAACTCCAGTTTGTTGGCTGTCCAGCCAGTTGATATGCTGACTGCACTATCCCAGCTCTCACAGATGTTAATCCATATCAACTTAACGTGCATATACAAGTGAAGGAAGGCCAACTAAAGATGTCAACAGAATATGGATGACCCCCAGTACAACATTAGCTGAGTCAGTTATATCATCCATCATGTGTTAATTCCATTCTCTTTATTTGAAACTGTATGCATATTATAACTAAAAAACTATACTGAGTGAGATGAACTGTACTGACATAATTATTTCATTTCACCCTGACCTGACTTCATACATATTGTAAACATACTAAGCCAAACTGAATAGTGCTTGTGTTGATTATTATACTTTGTCTTACAGTTTTGCAAGTCCCTTTTCTTTGTATAGAAACCTGTAAGTACAGCTTGTGTGTTAGCCTTAGTTACTGTTGAGTACCTATCATCCTTTCCTGTATAGCACATTGGTAGTGAAAGAAAGTGGTCTAGGCATAGCATGTGGTTGGATGTCAGATGGAAAGGACTGGGCACCTGTGTAGAGTTTGAATGGTTTGCTGAAAGTTGAATATTAACACACACTCCTATTTTCAGGTTCGTTATCGGGAAAGAATAACAATTTTGCGTGGTAATCACGAATCTAGGCAGATCACACAAGTATATGGTTTTTATGATGAGTGTCTACGCAAATATGGAAATGCTAATGTATGGAAGTTTTTCACTGATTTATTTGACTACCTGCCACTGACAGCATTGGTAGATGGGCAGATATTCTGTCTCCACGGAGGTCTCTCTCCATCAATAGACACTCTTGATCACATCCGGGCATTAGATCGCCTTCAAGAAGTACCACATGAGGTGAGGGCAAACATTATTAGGTACAGTGTTGAGAGGTGTGAAAATTGTGTTCTTAGATGTTTTGTTACTTTCAGACTCATGACCTTCTCATTTCATAATGAGTTTTCATATGTTTAGGGTCCGATGTGTGATTTGTTATGGTCTGATCCTGATGATCGGGGAGGTTGGGGTATTTCACCCCGTGGTGCTGGTTACACCTTTGGGCAGGATATTTCAGAGACATTTAACCATTCAAATGGACTGACCCTTGTGTCAAGAGCACATCAACTTGTTATGGAGGGTTACAACTGGTAAGTTTTTTTGGTCTAGACATGTGTGCAGATATTTTCTTTTCCACTGTCCTTTAATATCCATGATTGAATTCATCAGTGTAATAATTTGTTTTAGGTGCCATGATCGTAATGTAGTAACAATTTTCTCAGCACCCAATTATTGCTATCGCTGTGGAAACCAAGCAGCCATAATGGAACTGGATGATGCACTGAAATACTCATTGTAAGTATTAAGTGTAGTTTTCTCAGGTAGAAAGGTAAAGGTAGATTTACCCCTTTAATAGGCTGTGGAGGCCCATAGTGTTGTGAGATGTTGAGGCCTCCACATTTTCTATACAATCAGCTCGCAGGTGGTGGTGAGGCCAGCCTTATGTGCCAGCCACCCTTTACCCCAAGGAGGATCCATGGTACTTGTTTCCTTTAGAGGTTGAGTCTACCCCAGGGTTATAGCGTGGCTGGAAGGATTAGGTCAATTGGAAAGTACAGTGACCACATCGGGAATGGAACTTGCAACTTTCTGGCTTGTAGCATAGTGCCTCAATCAACTACGCTACTGTGTGCCCCAATTTCGTCAGGTTCAGAATATATTGTTTATTTAAATTAGTGTATGCTAAACTTGACTGTTGTTTAATTACAGCCTACAGTTTGACCCAGCTCCACGGCGTGGTGAGCCCCATGTCACCAGAAGGACTCCAGATTACTTCTTATAAATCATCATTGCAGCAAGACCAAGCAGTTGGCATTTATCTGCCAGGCTGCCTCATGTTTACACTATCCATGACCCCTTCTGTAGGGGTGTTTTTAGAACTCAGAATGCCAACAAAAGTTAATGTGTTGCTATGTATTTTTATGTGAAACATCTCCCTAGATGTAGGTGATCTGGCTCTTTCCACATGAATTACATTAAAATCTTGTTGTTACAAAATTTTCTTTCAATTTAGGATTAGGTGCTGTGTTCTGTTTTATGTAAACCGAATGAACATGTACTGAAGGTTTACTTGTTCATATGACTTATAATTTTGTAATAATGAGATTTTATTGTATTCACTAGTAAAGGTAAGCAGTTTTTTTAATGATCATGTAATCACTAAAGCCACAAGGGTGTGATACATGAATGGACCCCCTGTATTGTATAAATTACGGTAAGAAAGCACTAGCCTATTGGACATGTATTGTCTCTGTGCACCAATTTGCTGAGAAACACTTCTTAAGGATGCAGCTCATACAAATTCCACATTTTGCATCCAGCCACATAATACAAACTGTATAAAAATGTGTGATAGTATAAAGCTACAAGAAGTTTTTTCCTTCCCTCATGTTCCCCATTTTCACTCCTAAGTAAATTATCTTGTAAAGCAGATTGCTTGTACACTTGTAATATTGTGAGTTTGTTTTAGGTCATGTTAGTAACACTGAGGTATCTGCTGCATTTGATCACATGCTAATGTTGCCTGTGGCTGGGCACACTGCAGTTATGATTTGCCCAACAAATTATAACAAAGAAAATACTAGTTATAGATATTTTTTGTCATTGGTCTTTCTTTTCTACAGACGTTCCATGTCTATGATTGTCTTGTATATTAAAGTGACTTTATACAGTATATGATTAGTTCTTAGACCATTTCAGAGTTTAACATTTTCATTTCGTTTTAAAATATTCATATGAATGCAGAATATATGTTTCTATTTGAAATGGTTTTTTGAATGTTGATGGATTTGGACATAGTCAGTCAGTAGTTGAAATTATAGAATTTGTAATTGTTTTCAATTTGTGTTGATTACTGTTGGCTTTTATTTAATATAATGAAATAATAATGGCAGTTTTTACATGAATTGGTTGTTACTGTTTATGTCCAAATTCTTTGCTAGAATCCCTTCTTCCTTGAATCCTGATAATTGTTGAGCTGGTAAGTGAAACTGATGTACATTCGATGCAGAATATATCTTAGTCTGAGCTATGTCGCAGAAAGAGGGGAAGGGAAGATGAAGGATGGAAAGCAAGGGGGAGTACAATGTAGGACTGTGTTCATTCTGTATGCACTAATTGCACTATTGCTTGGCCATCTTATCCACCCTACTTGTACCTCAGCTGACAGGCCAACTCATGTGTGTTTTTGTAAGTCAATGAAGCTTGGAGATACTGTGTTACATTTGTAGAATTGCCTGATAAGAATCAATAAATACATAAGTCCTGATTAAGATTTCTTGCAAAAAAATTATCATTTTCTATGATATGACAATACTGTCATATACTGAACTTAAGATAAACGCTGTTGTGTAGAAGAGTGTATAAATGTTCAGGTTACAAGCACTGATCTCTGGTAAAATTTAATTTAAGAAGCTGTAATTGCAATTTTATGATATGCAGATAGTTACAAAACAGCAGATTTAATTAAGAGAATGGGGGGATTGCTATATAATTGAAGTAAACCAATAAATAAAATGTACAGTATAATTTAGTACAGTACACAGATCATAAAATCTCTACGGTCATATCTATATTTGTATGAATTTGTTTCATTATAGTAAGAATATTGCAGTGATGTTACAATATTGTTCTTTAGAATGTAAACTGATCACCTTAACACTTTGAGGACCGGTGGCTTAGTTTTATGCCCAGTGCTTTTAAAATGGCATATTATTATGATTTTAGGACATGTTAGATTGTAACACACAATATCTTTCTCTGATGCCACCCAAATGAAATGACTACTGCTTAATATTATTCTGGAATGTTTGCTTAGTAGGCAGTAACTTGATCTCGCTGTTTTTGGGTTTCCCCTCCAAAGGAAAATGATCTTTGACCCTTCAAGCTCTTATGTACCAGGCAGGAAGTTAGTAGTGCAATGAGTCAAGGACAGAAGCGGTTGAAAACCAAGCAATATCTGACTTGTTGTCCGAGCTATCTGATGTTCCTTCTGAGACGTGCAGTGATAGTGATTTAGACAGTGGCAGTGACGGGACAACAATTGTGGCCACAGACAATAAAAGTGAAAGTAGCTCCGATCAAAGTGCGGGTAGTAAAATTGCGGGGACAGCCACATGGGGAAAAGTAGACAAAACGCTTACTTTGGGACAGTTTACCGGAAATCCAGGGGTGAAACAAATTCATTGGATCCAACGCAAGTGTCAGAAGTAGCAGAACTGTTTTTTGGAGATAGGAATACTCTTGTTGTGAATATGATTTCCATAATTTACAATTCAAGCATGGTTGATGTTCAAAGGAGACATGGACAAGTAAAGAAGCCTATTTGTTTGTATTTCTGAGTATAATATGTTCATGAAGGGAGTTGATAGAGCCGATCAATACTTGGCCTATTAATCTCTTCCTAGGAAAATAATAAAGTGGACAAAGAAAGTTGCATTGTGGCTTATAGATTGTGCCATTTTCAATTCATTTTTGGTTTACAAAAATCTAAACCCTGATTCGAAATTGAAATACAAAGCATTTCTGATGAATGTGGCAAAGGCCTGGGCTACAGACCAGATGGTGGTGGCAGAACCAGAGTCAGGCACAGACTTAGTGCGACCGGGCCCATCAACTCCCACCCCACGCAATCCTCATGTGGACACCCCTGGGCGACTCGGGTGATATGCGGAAACATACCCTCGTGAAAATTGTGAAGAGTGAACATTCCAAGAGGAAGCATCTTTCTAGGCAGTGTTGTGTTTGTACAGTTCACACACGGGGGGGGGGGGGTATGACTGTCTACATTGCAAGTACTGTGTAATGCCACTGCACAATGGGGAATGTTTCCAGAAATATCACACTCTCAAGCACTTCTAGAAGCATTGGTAAGTGTTCTCCAAAAATTTTAGTTCATAAAATTAATTAGGAGATTTTATATTAATTTTTAAAATGAACAGTGCACAAGTTAGGGTAGTAGGTTTAAAAATGCCGGTCTCCAGGGTGATTTAAATATTTAAATTGCCGGTCTGCAAAGTGTTAAAATGCTCGAGGTTCAGTTTATTGTAACATCCTTTAGGACCAGGTTATTAACTTCTGCAGCAAATATTTCAACTCTTTTATTGTACTGGAGTGACTTTACTTATACATGGTTTATTTAATTGTGCTTTAATTTGCTAAGATTATACAGCATTGGATGGTCGTCAATATTGAATTCGAAAGGATGTGAAAGGAAATTATGCCAAAATTTAGAATTCTATTGCAGCATTTGCCTGGTGCGACAAGGAACAATACAGTATAGCTAGTCTTTGGTCTGAGACTTGTACCTTGGATCTCCCACACACAAGCAGGAGTGCTAACTCCTTGGCTGCATTTGGTTACACTGACATCTATCCATGAATTTAATGAATACTGAACATGGTTGAAACAGGGTTGTGTCTACTGTTGTAAAGCATCCTAAAGAGAATATGCTAATTGTTTGATGTGAATATCTGTTTCATTAGGAAGTTTACATTTATCTTGCACAATCCATGATCATTTGATTAGTTCATTAACAGTTCTGCCACTGGAACAGATAGAAAATGTGATCACTACTGATATCTTGTAGGCCAATCGAGGAGTAGAAACAAGTTCTTGCTGTTCTTCACAGTTCTAGACAAGCAAGATACTGCACACTCATTTTTCCTATGTTTTCTTATATATTGAAAGAAGTTTATGACAAACAGAACAGTATGCTTCGAAATTCTTCAGAGGAAAAGTGTTTTCAGAAATAGGATATCATTGCTGTATGTCATTACATATTTATTATTCATAATTTCATTAGCACAACTCTTGCACCTTTTGACGTAGATTATCATAATACAGGGGATGGACAAAAATATGGAAACACCCAACAAAAAACACATTACTGTGACTAATATCGTGCAGGACAATCTCTGGCTTGCAAAACTGCTTGCAGTCTCCTTAGACTGCATAAATAGAGGTCCTGTATGATTTGCAAGGGAATGTTGTACCATTCTTCCTGCAAACATTGGCAAGTTCTGTTAATGATGATGGAGGTGGATAGCGCACACGCAGATTGCACTCCAAAACAGACCACAAAGGCTCAATAATATTGATATCTGGCGATTGTGGGGGCCATGGCAGAAGTGACACTTTATCATCATGCTCAGAAAACCAGTCCTGGACGATATGAGCTGTATGAACATGGGCATTTTCATCTTGGTAAATAGCATCACCATTGGGGAACAAAGTTTGCACCATGGGATGGACGTGGTCACCCAAAATGGTCACATAGTCGTTGGCAGTGACGTGACCTTGCAGGGTAATGATGGGTCCAACAGAATACCACAATATGGCTGCCCATACCATGATCGAACCCCTGCCATGTATCACTCTTGGCAGCAAACAATCTGGATTGTAAGCTTGGGATGGTGTTCTCCAGACGTAAACTCGGCCAGAAGTCGGAAACAGGGTGAAGGTGGACTCATCCCACCAAATGACCGTCTTCCATTGCTCCATGGTCCAGGTTTTATGACTTTGGCACCACACTCTCCTCATAGTGGCATTTTGATCACTGATGAGTGGCTTTGGAATTGCAGCTCATCCAGAAATACCCTGCTTGTGGAATTTCCTTTGTACTGTTTTGGTGCTGACAGGGTTTGTGAGCGTGACATTCAGTTCAGTAGTCACTTTTGCAGCTGTAGTCTTATTTTTCGTCACAATCCTACACAATGTTCGTCTGTCTCAATCACTCAACACACATTTCTGTCCATGCTGGTGTTTATTGGATGCGGTTTTTCTAGTCCTGTATGTAGTCATAATCTTGGATACTGTGCCTCGTGAAATACCAAAAACCTCAGCTACCTTGGTTATGGAAGCACCCACCATACGGGCCCCAACAATTTACCCACGTTCGAATTCTGTTAGTTCTGACATGATGCACTAAAAACTGCACAGAGCACTGTCTCGATAACAAATGAAGCTTGCAACGTATTGCGGAGGTTGTACAGGTAGCGGTATTGGGCAAATACGACAGCGTCACCTACAAACGTTGCTAAAATAAACACTTCAATTCAGGCATGCATTTCATGAGGTGTTTCCATACTTTTGTCCATCCCCTGTATATCCCATTCTCCTGTGTTTCTGTTTCATCATCTTTGTCTCCGACATGAATCCTTTGATAAATCCTGTGTTTGCTGCAGAAAAATATTTTTTCTGTAATGAAACTTCCTGTTTATGGTTTTTATTTTTTTACCTGTATGCTTTCTGAAGAGCGGAATACTACTTTCATATACCAGTTTTTTTATTGCTAGTGGGGTGGGACTAAGTCCCTTGGACTGCGGCCACTTCTGGCCTGTTGTACCAGCCCCAGATGATAGGTGAGGGTGATCGTGGAGCAGTTGGTGGAATGAAGATTGGCAGGGGAAACCTAAATACTCAGAGAAAAACCGCTCCAGCGCCACTTTGTCCACCACAAATCCCACCTGACCAGACCTGTTCATATACCAGTTTGTATAAACAATTTGTGGGCTTAACATTTTGGCCAACTAAGGAATGAAAACAGTAGTTGATATTTTCAGTCCAAGCTATGTAAACAGAAAAACACTGCTCCAACCCTTGTACTTTGGAGAAAATATTAAACAAATTGAATAATCCTTGTAAAATTTATAACCAGTTGGCAATGGGTTTGTCATAGAAAATCCTACCCATGATAGCCTGTAGTCTGACCAAGTTACAAGTTGACAGTAAATGCTATAATTGTAGATAATGCACTAAGAAGTGAAAACCAGATAGTCTAATTCCCGAGAATGGACTAATCTGGCAGAATCTTCCAAGGAAGGCTATAGCTTAAAAAGGGCTGCTTTGCCAATGATGATGACATAATGCACTGGAAAGGTAGAGATATAGTTGCATTTATCCCAAATTGATTATGCACCATGCTATGGAGAATTATGGGGAAGTGGAGGTATAGCTCTACACATTCTTGTGCTTGGCACTAGATGTGTTCTTTATCTGTAGAGCAAGAGCCCCAGTACCCGCTGGGTAGAGGGCTGGATGGGCCCCAGAGCTGGTCTGAATGCTGTGGAGAAGAGAAAATCTCCTGCATCTGCTTTTAATTGAACTGATTTATTGGCCATCCATCCTGTAGCCCATTGCTAGATCATATCAGGTGGCCTGGCTCCTACATAATGCACTGAGTAAAGAACTTCATGTTTAAGCCCTAGGCATTCATGAGAAACTAAAATCCACCTCTTCATCCCTTTTGCAAAATAAGTTTTACATAAACATTTCAGCTAGGAAATGAATAACTCGTGATATTTTTTAAAGGTACTTTCAACAACTCTTATGGCCCTTTAGGAATACTAGCAGGTTGGTCCTTGGCGTATCATTAATAAACCTTCATGAGTCCAAGACTGATCCCTTTATTCATAAGAAATAAATCAGCACCACTGGATGAGTGCTATGGAATTGAGGTGTCAGAAGTCCCACAGATAGTGGGGATAACAATTCTTAAGGTTTCCCAGTCTCTGTCTATTATTTCTCTTTCTGTCAGCCTCTTTTGGTCTACGTTAGTGAGCCCAAAATGTGTGTAGGTTATGACTACCAGCATTCCTATGGAAAGAATGACTAGTGCTGGAATTGGAAGCATAACAACTCAGTCGTCCAGCCTGTAACTAGTTGCTATATCGACTAAGCTACCCCGGCTCTCACAAGTGTCTTGTACATCAATTTTAGTTACAATAAAAATGAGTCTCTCTGAAGTTGCATATCTGAATTATTGGACAGTATTTGGAAAGATCGCGATTCTTGTATGCTGCATTTGAGAAAGACAGTGAACAGAACAATAACTGTAAGTGGAACCATTCAAGAAAAAGATAAAAAGTATACTTAATTGTAGTACAACATGCAGGCACTACAGAAAGGTTATGTGGTAGATCAGATAACCACAGAATACTATTTATTACATTATTTATTTAAACTATATTATGGATATATTATATTCCTTTACCAACATATAACTAGTTACAATAATGGGCAATGACAGTCTTATTATATGCTCTGATTTTAACAACAAAAATAACAAACTGGAAACTGACAACTTCTCTATCATTTTTTAAGAAATGTATACCCCAAAGAGAGATATGTCAAAACTGCACAACTAAGTAATCTTTACATAATTCTTCCTGTATTCTGTACCTCTGCAAGTGAAAATAAATTACTGTATGCGAATCACAGCTTGTTTTACTATCACTACTGTAATGACTACAACCGTGGTGGAAGGCATTTGGTTTGAGGTATATTAAAATTCTTACTCAGAGATGAATTTAAGTACTAAGAGGCAGAATGACTGGCTAAAAACCTAATCCAGTGTACTGCAAATAAATGCATTTATATTCCACAAATAATATTAATTTGACTATTAGTCATCATCAAAAGGAGATGCTGACAATGGCAAATAATGCAAACTTGTTTTTCATAGGATTTACATTCTGCTAGAAGGGAAAAGGTGTTAGTATATAGCAATTCCTTTGTACACTGAAATGTGTTGAGAATTTCAAATGTGATAATTGTGACACATAATTCTCCTGAATTATAACATTTATTATAATAAGGAGAAATTGTGCATTTTCACATAACTTTCAGACTGATGGCCAGATGGAGTAAGAAATAGAAATTATTGCACAAATATTGAACACAATCTTGAAGGCAAAAAATGAATAAGGGTATTGTCATCACACAACTCAGCGACTCGTAATAAATTGAGACATGATTGACCTGCAAAATCCCAAGTTGCATAGCTGCTGCAAGAAGCCTTATGCTGAGTTTTATTTTCACAGTTAAAAATTCTACTGCTTTGATGCATGAAATAAATACTCTATTTTGCCACAAGAGTTCACTGAACTTGTCAACAGAGAGCAGGAAATTAACATTTTAAACACACAAAAAATAATACCTAAAGGCATAGCTTTCAAGATGTTGGATTACTGCATAAAGGAGCTGTCAATATCACCACTACAGATCAACAGCATGAAATGGATTAACATACTATCCACTCAATTCAAAGTTTTTCAGAGCTGAGTGTATCAGTTTTTATGAAATATTTTACAAAGGTATGTACAGACACATGGTCCATATTGAAAGACATTGGTCTATAGTAGCCTACACACAAACATGGCCATCACATAGGCCATGTTGGTAAAAATGGACAGATCAAGCAAATGCCAATTCAGTATCAAGACGTTCAAACACTTAGAGTTAACACTCTGCCTGTTACATATTCATATCATTAAAATCTACCTAAATGGACCAATTACTTAAAACCACTTTCATGCACTTATAAAGATAGAGTTCTGCTACACAGGTGGCCAGATAATTTTATGTACTCTGTTACTTAAGGAGGATATAACTCTCAACAGAGATGAGAAACCTGCAAGTTTCTCATCTCTCTGACATTTATATAAAATCTTAAATGATGAAAAGTATTATTTTCAGGACGTGTACTTTTCCACAACATACTGTCCAATCCTCAATTTAGGAGTAACAATAATATACATAAATTAATATTCATATAACATTTTGTCAAAATCTAACAACTAATGCATATTTCATTCAAGCTGCATGTATCATACATATCTTAAATGTATGTAAAAACTTCTCTTTCTCCATTTACCCAGTCTTTCATTTATAAGATAGTGTAGAAAAGAATCAAGTATCTATTAACTGCAGCAAATACATAAATAATTGAAAGTTCTCTACAGCTTCTTATTGATGGCATGAAAGAAAACTGATTCTTTTCTGAGCATATTTTTCTCAGACAAGACCACAATTCATTATTCTGTCAATGCATCATAACCATAAGAGCTGACCACAGTATAATTTCTAATCCTGAGTATGTCCTTTCAAAGCTACGAATGGAAGAAATAATATCTGGTAACTTGAACTATATACTTATAATTAGACATTTATCTTTGAATCTCAATGAAAGATTAACATGCACATAACATATATGTAGATTTAAAGCTACAACTTAAATAACCTTTTATAAATTCTAATTCAACAGAAACCAGAAACAAATGAGAAACTGGTTACACATAAGGTGCTACTGACCATTCAAAACAGTGACAATAAGAACAGAATTAGCTGTAAATGAAATTCCCTCTCTTGCAGACTCCATTTCATGCTTCTTTCCATGTTAATGCCCTGTTTGAGACCTCACCTCCAGCCTCTTCATGAATTCAACCAGTTTTAAAGTTTCATGCCTGTGTCAAGGTCAAGCATTTGCTTCAAAAGTTCATATGTTGAAAAGGACACTGCAACCATTGGAATAGCTCTCAGGTAATTGATGCTCATACCTCTATACAGACCCCTGAACACACCATTCTCTTTGTAAATGAGGACAATTGTACTGATCATCCCTACACTGAAACAGAAAAACAACATACTGTCATAGTTGAAGTGAAATCTCTTTGCGTATGAACAATTCATCATGTAACAATTTAGTCAAATATTACGGGCAATATTCTAATGTCAAGGACTGCACATTCAATTGAATATGAATCTGAATTAATAGTTTACATTACAGAGCACACTACAACACCTTTAATGTGCTTTGAACTGTAAATATCCATAATAACTGAATGTAAGTAGTAAATACTAATACAGTGAAAGTACAGACCACATAACAATATCATGAATAATTTTTTCATATTCATATTCATATTCATATTTATTTCAAGTTCAGTTGATCCATACATGAGTTGAAAGTACAAACTGTTGGATATAGAACGTGTCACAAAGTAAATACTAGTCTAAGTTCCCATTTTAATGCATCAAATCTAAAAAATCTTGAAAATCTGCTCCAATGATTCATGCGTAAAGTCTATTATATCAGTCGCAAGAAAAGGGAAAAGATATCATTTGCATAGCAGTCATAAGGATGGTTTAATTATATTTTGTCTCCAACTTTACAATGTTTAGTAGCTTCACATATTAACTTTTCATTGTTGCAATGGTTTTTCATAGTGCTTTAAATGCTTTGTGTTATTTTACTATGAATTCAATTCATAAGCCCTCCAAGCTGGAGATAAAACACTTAAACACTACAGCCTTATAAAGCTGTTTTCTGTCAACATGTACATGTGAAGATTGAAGAATTTGTAAGTGGTTAAAAGTATTAAAGTTATTTAATTCTGTGAGTAACCAAAGGGAAACAAAAATACAAACTACCCTTCACTTATAGTACATGAACATACAATTTCACTCTTTAGTAGTAAACTGTGCCCTACTCTACCTGATCACAGCATTAATAACACTTTACAGTGCAGCACCAGAGGTTTCCACTACTCTTCACAGCTCCTCTTCTCTCTGCCCTCTTAATTCCTGGCACTACTTTGTCGCATTTCTGGCTCATCATGAAACGCATCTATCACCCTTTCATAAGACGTTTCAGTAGTATAAGAATGAGGTTAATTACTGCTTCCATTAAGTATTAATCTTGAGCTCAGATAGGAAAGTGGTTGCTTCCTCAGTCTCTGAGCATTTAAATTTAATTAGAACAAAGACTTTTTTAAAAATGCTAACTAGTTGTGGATTATCATATCTTCTTTAATTATTGTTTTGTCATTCAACTGGATATCTTGTGAAATGTGCAATTAGTACACATTGATACAATTTCCAAAGTAGATTTCAGTGTGCACAGTATTTTTCAGCACTGTAGACACAGTACACTGCTCTCCTGTTTTGCAGTTATTCTGTGTGCCTTTCAACATAATTCTGCAATCCTGCAGACCACCTATCAAGTTCCCTCAGTCCATCAGTCTGTGTGAAAGAAACAGCCTGAGAACTGCTGGATGACTTTTCAAGAAATATGATACTGGAGACATTTACAAAAAATTGTCAAGCCATTTCATTTTAATTTTGATTCGATAATTTTACAGTACTGCATAAAGACCTATATGCATTTCTGCATGTATCTTGACTGTAACTCGCTAAATATTTGTCAGAGCAAAAACATCTTTTAGACAGAAGTTGTTTTGAGATCACTAACAAGAATTAAATGCTATGCACACATTTCCAAATATCTACATTCAATAATATCTTGGATCATCAATGGCTTTTAAAAATTGTCTTTTTTCTTTCATTACACAGATAATTAGAAGTACACCACCTCAAGTAAATGAAAGTCTGGTTGTATATGCAATTTTCACTTACTAGACCAAAGGTTTCAGGACAATAGCAACCTACAGTGTAAATTTTCTTAATCAAATGGTAATAAATTTGGGCTCTTACTGCTCTTTCCTTTCTCTGAGAAATTAATTACATAGTTTACAATAAATGAACAGGGCTTTACCTGAGCTGTAATGTATCTGACTCATCAAGCTCTGACTGGTTGAAAATGTTTAGACTCATCACTTTGCTCAATATGCACGATGAAAATGTCTATTCAGTACATGTATAAACATTCTATTTTAATTTCTGATGATACAAACTTTACTGTTAGTTGTTATGGAACATACATGAAATATTGCAACAATATATTCAATACATTTAACAATAATAAAAGCATTTGAGAGATGAGATAGTATGGTTGGTATTGTGACTGGCTATGGGCTGGACGACCAAGGGGTCGCAGTTTGAGTCCTGGTGGGGGTAAGAATTTTCATTTCTCTATGTTGTCCAGATTGGCTCTGGGGAACACCCACCCTCCTATCCAATGGGTACTTGGGTCTCTTTCTCCAGAGGCAGAGTGGCCAGGGATGACCACTCACCTCCAACTAGTGCCAAAGTCAAGAAAACGTGGGCCTATACATTCACTCCCACATACATCTTCATGGCATAGTGCTTAATTAGTTAAGCACAGGGACTTTTAACAGTTTCAACATTCTAGACTTGTATTCAGAGAGTGCTCAGTTGGAATCTTGGCTGGGATATCAGCTATCCTGAGACTCTTTCTGATAATTTTCCTTAGTCCTCTGAATAAATGCTGGGATAATAGCTCAATCAGGCCAAAAATGCTTCCTTTTAAGTCCTTTCAAATTCACTATTCATTATTCATTCTATCACTGGACATTATATAGACTCAATACTAGCAACATCACTAATCAACCAACATAAAAAACTACATTCACCAGAAGCCTAATGGTGCATATCCTCATGCAGTCACAACTGTATTTGTCCTACAATTAAAACTGAAAGCAAGATTTCACAGCATCTGGTTGCTTTCATGCATTCAATACCACCTAAAATACAGAGTACTTCCAAAGGTAAATATGTAAACTGCCCATTGTTCACGGACCATTTAAAAATGAAGACAGAAACAAATTCAAACTGAAGTCACACCAGTGCAGCACACAGTGAAGGACAAAGAGATTACCAGTAAGTATAACTAATGTGCTAGAGACCTATATAAGACCGGTGTCCAAATGAAAGCTATCCAAAATAAAAATTTATATCTTGGAAACTGTCATACATGTATTCACTTTGTGTCATCAGGAAAGAAAACACTGAAAGTTCTTTTTCATGACCGGCTTACATGCATGCACCAGGTGGTGACCTTCGGCAAGCTCAATAATGATGTCGACACCACAGGAACAGGTTCAATGTGTGTTGTGGCTAGCAGAGTTGTAATCTCCTACAGCTGTTCAGCATTGTTTTAGAACACAATATGGATGTAAACCTCTGACACAGAAAAGTATTTGGTTCTGGGACAACAAACTGGGGACTACAGGTAATCTGTTGCGTGCAAAATCTCCTCGAAAGACATGGACATCTGAAGAAAATGTCAATCGCATTAGAGGGGCATTCCAGTGAAGTCCACTCAAATCAATTCATGCTGCCCAAAGTGAATGCATGGGCTGGCTTAATGCATGACAAGTTGACTGGACCATTTTCTTTTTGGAAAAGACTGTGACCAGATGTTCATACTTGGATATGCTGGAGCTGCATGCGCTGCCCCAATTACAACCTCAAACTATTCTCCAACAAGACGGGGCGCCGCCACATTTCTGCCACCATGTTAGGAATCACCTGGACAGAGATATGGCTGGGAGATGGACCAGCAGAAGTGGACCAAATGCTTGGCCTCCTAGGTCGCCAGATTTAAACCCATTGGATTTTTTTCTTGTTGGGTTATGTGAAGAACACTACCAGGTTAAGATCAACGGCCTTCAACACCTGCAAGCCTGCATAAGAGACCCTGTGGCTACGGTAACACCAAACATGCTTCAAGCAATGTGAAACGATGTTGAATATCATCTGGATATTTGCTGTGCCACCATGGAAGCCCACACTGAAAGTACTGAGAAAGTTATATACTCAGAAAAAACTCTGATATAGTTTCCCTTTGTAATGGTGTAACCCATAAATGAGTATGATAAAGGCATTCTGAGATATAATTATGAGGGAAAGTCAGAAATTATCTGCATGTTCGCCGTAACACATCTTTAGGTTTGTCACACTGGCTTCTGCACATGCATGCTTAAGAGTTGGTTCTACTGTGGTCATGTGATCACGTAATTTTCCTTGATGGTGTGACAGTGTAAACATGGCCACTCCGCTAGCAGTGTGCACCAAGGAGGAACAAAGAACAGTGATCCGATTGCTCTGGTTGGAAGGTGTGTCAGGGGCTGAAATTCATTGGAGGCTTTCATCACAATACGGGGACAGTGCTGTACCACGTAGAAGTGTGTATGAGTGGATCGAGAAGTTTGAAAGTGGCTGGACAAGAAATTCAAGACTCAATCTTCTGCAGGAAAGGTGATGCCAACCGTTTTTTGGGATTCAAAAGGGCCTATACTGGAAGATTACCTGGAAAAAGGGTGTGTGATCAACAGCGCAAGATACAGTGATTTGCTGACCAGTAATCTGAGGCCAGCAATTCACACAAAATGCCGAGGCCTATTGTCGAAGAAAGTGTTGTTGTTGCATGACAATGTACACCCACATATGGCTGGCCAGATCACTGAAACCAGTAACCATTTGGGTTTTGAGGTGCTGGAACACCTTGCCTACAGCCCAGATCTCGCTCTTACGACTATCATCTCGTTGGACCACTCAAAGATGCTTTACGAGGTCGTCAATTTTCTACAGACAAATAGTGCATAAAAGGTTGTGCGACCTATTGAAAACCTTCTTGGAGGGAATATGCAAGCTTGTGGACCGCTGGACCAAGTGCATCAAAAAGGAAGGAGACTATGTAGAAAAATGACATACTTGTTCAACCCCTACTTTTTTGTATATAAATTGGAAAAACAAGAGTGCGGATAATTTTTTACCCCCCCCCATGTATTTTATTTTGGATACCTTTCATCCAGACACCCTGTATGTTCTATAAAATAAACACAATGTCGAAAATTTAAAGAAGGTATACTTACAGTACATAAAAAGTCTCAGAAAGATCTATTCTGTGAAATTTGGAGGTGC